TTCTCCTCCTATTCCCCTTCCCCAGTCCACTGATAGGGGAAGACCTCCTTCCCTTCCATCTGACCCTAGCCTGTCAGGTCTCATCAGGACTGTCTTTCATAGTCTTCCTCTGTGCCCTCATAAGGCTGTTCCACCATCAGAGGGAGGTGATCAAAGAGCCAGCCCCTGAGTTCATGTCAGAGACAGCCCCGGTTCCCCTTCCTTGGGAGCCCATTTGGAGACTGAGCTGCTATGGGCTGTTTTGGCAGTCATTAGGTTTATACCTACACAAAGCTCTGCAGGGGTTCTAGGTTATCTCTATGTATGTTCCTTGGTTTGAATATCAGTCTCAGAAAATATTTTTTGCCCAGATTTTTTTGGTTCTGTTGTTCTCCTTATGGAGCTCCAAAACCTTTCAAGTCTTTCTGTCTCCCCCTTTGTTCATAAGATTCCCTGCAGTCTGCCCAAAGTTTGGCTATGAGTCTCAGCATAGGTTTTGATACCCTGCTAGGTAGAGTCTTTCAGAGGCCCTCTGTGGTAGGCTCCTGTTATATTCACTGTTTTCACCTTCTTCCGATATCTATCCCATTTGCCTTTCTGAATGGGACTGAGCATCTTACCCAGGGTCCTCCTTCTTGCTTAGCTTCATTAGGTGTACAGGTTTTAGTATGATTATCCTATATTATATGTCTAATATCCACTTATAAGTAAGTATATACCATGTGTATCTTTCTGCTTCTGGGATACCTCACTCAGGATAATCTTTTCTAGTTCTGACCATTTGCCTGTAAATTACATGATTTCCCTTTTTTAAATTGCTGAGTAGTAGTCTGTTGTCTAAATGTACCACAATTTTTGTATCCATTCATCCATTGAGGAACATCTGGGTTGTTTCCAGATTCTGCCTATTACAAATAAAACTGCTATGAACATCATTGAGCAAATGTCCTTGTTGTATACTTGAGCATATTTTGGATATATGCCTAGGAGTGCTATAGATGGATCTTGAGGTAGTACTATTCCTAATTGTCTGAGAAAGCACCAGATTGATTTCCAAAGTGGTTGTACAAATTTACATTCACACCTGCAATGGAGGAAGGTTCCCTTTTCACCACATCCTCTTCAGCATTTGTTCTCACTTGAGTTTTCGATCTTAGCCATTCTGATAGGTGTAAGGTGAAATCACAGGGTCGTTTTGTTTTGCATTTCCCTGATGGCTAAAGATGTTGAGCATTCATTTAAGTGTTTTACTGCTATTTGGTATTCCTTTGTTGAGAATTCTTTCTTTAGCTCTGTACCCTATTTTTAAATTGGATTACTTAATTTTTTGCTGTTTAGTTTCTTGAATTCTTTATATATTCTGAATATTAGACCTCTGTCAGATATAGAGTTGGTGAAGATCATTTCCCAATCTGTAAGCTGTCGTTTTGTTCTGATGACAGTGTCCTTTGCTTTGCAGAAGCTTTTCAGTTTCATGAGGTCCCATTTATTGATTGTTGATCTTAGAGCCTGTTCTATTGGTGTTCTGTTCAGGAAGTTGTCTAGGAGCCACTTTTGAATGAATGAATGAATGAATGAATGAATGAATGAAGCGATGGCTGAATAAATAAATGTTTGAATGTGGTTATTACAAAGTTGAAGTGGCAGTTGTGTTCTAAGCAGAGTTCGGACATCTGCCAGCCAGCATGACATTGGGAATGTCACTTGATGCTTCAGATAACAAATTGGGGTCTTTTTGGAGGAAAAATACATACTTGGTTTTTAGACCTGAGTCTCTAACTTGAGAGAAATTAATTGAAGCGTGTTGGAACTACTACTAAAGAATGAAAGCAAACCATGAGGAAGAGATAATGGCTGTCAAGAGGAAAAAAACAAAGTTGTGATTCTAGATGTAGAGATTTATATGCTAAGCACATGGGAAAGGTTCAAAGACAGATAAAGCCAAACCAGCTGTGGTTCTTGATTTCAAGAGCTATCTTGATGTTTACTTGTCAACATACTTGAAAACAGTTCCAGTAGGAGGCAGACATGGGACAGACCTGATTTTAAACTATATTTATATTTTCGCTGAATAATTGATCTGTAGCAATATTTTTTCCAACAAACCAATGGCTTTGAAGATCTAATCCACCATTTCAAAATGATCCAAATACAAGATGTCCCATTTATCTGTATCCCACACGTAACTATAGATTGGGGACAACAAAGAGATTGATGACAGAATAATTGAAGTACATGTCAAGGAAAGAAGATTTAGGAAATGTTTTTGCATGTTCAGACAGCTCCATACAGAACACTTTCATCAGCTACAATGATTTCTTTATCAAAACATATGGATCAGAAATTAGAACTAAAATCACACCTAGGACCTGCTCCTTTCCAAACCAAACATGTGAACTAGAAACATGTGATGACATTTGGCACCTTCACACTTAAAAGAAATAAAATGCTATCAGAGCATTAGGTTTGTTTTTTTTTCCAGTAACATGATATAGTAAAACTGTGAAAAACTTCATTGTAGTGAAATAATTTCATAAATGTAAGATGTTATCAACTTCTTTTATTCTGCCTATAGGAATATATGAATGTTACAGTTAAGAAAACTTTGTTACTGTATCAAAGCAGAAAGAAAAGATTCAAAATTTCTGGTTTCAAAAAAAAGTTCTGCCTGCATTCTTTTGTAGCCCATGGCATCTCAGTCTTCAAGTGGGTTCCCTAGTAATGGGAACAGGGACTGTCTCTGACATGAACTCAGTGGCTGGTTCTTTGATCACCTCCCCCTGATCAGGGAGCAGCCTTACCATGCCACATAGGAAGACAGTGCAACCAGTCCTGATGAGACTTGATAGGGTTGGGTTAGAGGAACTGGGAAGGATCAGTGGACTGGGGGAAGGGCATTGCAGGAAATGAGGGAGAGAGGGCGGGATTGGGAGAAGATGAGGGAGGGTGCTATAAAAAGTGAATAAACTGCAATTAATAATAAATAAATAAATTAAAAAAAAAGAAAATGTGACCTAAAATTGATACAGCATGTTTCCAAATTTCTGGAAATATAGTTTTGAGTCAAAGATGATTGTAGTATCAGGTTTTTCAGAATATTTTTAGGTCAGCAAAGTAGATCTCAGTCCATTTTTTTAATTTAGTGTAGTCAGCCAATCTATCATAAAAATGAAATCTGAACATTTGAACTATATGCTACTATGGAACTGTGGGATGCTAATTGCAGTAAGTCAAATTTAGATGTATCTTGAAGGAGAAATGGATCTATTAAGAGGCAACATAGCAATGAAGCTTCTGGCTTAGAATTCTGGATAACAGTAATGTTGATAAAAACAGAGCAGGGATCAAGTGTCACCACAGTCATGGTAGAAGTGGAAGGTCAGATACTGAGCATGACCAAGATGGAAGATTATGATTAACCAACTTGGCAATGTTCTTGCAAAGAAGTGCATAGGACCTAGGAGAAGGTTTTGAAACCTCACTAAATTTTGGCCAAGAAAAGAATCTTAATCATTCCTGCATTCCAGACATCTCACTTCCTCTATCATAATATGTTCCTGTCATCAACATGTACCCTCTCTGCTCATAGCTTAGTTGTAATCAGTTACTAAATTATGTTGAAATGAAAAGAAAAAAAGTAAGACTTTGATTGAGAGTAAGTTTTAAGTAAATATTTCAATAGAAAACTAAATTTTCTTAGAAAGCCTCTAAGGCAACTAGAAATGATGACATAAAAGAGTGGTAAGAAAAATTGAACCCACTGATTATCTTCCCTGAATTATCAGCCTGCCTTCTACATTCTGTAGCTTTCAACCAGTGCTTTCATTTGTCTTTGTTTATTAGACATTTAGGGAGTACTTCTGTACTCGCTAACATTTAACATTGGACACAGTGTCTCATGGTTTATTATAAGTGGCTAGTGACCATTTTTTTCTCAATAAAATGTCTGTGTCATCTTTTTGTAGCATTTGTTAATGATCAAGAATAAAATTCAAGGAATCCTGGGCCTCTTGAAATGGAACATAATTTCTGTAAGCCATGATGACTTGATGTTTATCCTATACTAACAGTACTACTTTGAGTTTATCACATTCATAAAGAATGAAATCATCCTAGCTTGCTACCCAAATCAAAAGAACTTATAGCTGGGCCTTTTATTCTTTTGTGAGATGTGCTAGAATCATCATTGCATTGTCATCCTGTGAACCTTTACAGCCTCTCTTGTGGATGTTATCACTCTCTCCTACAGCTGGGATTTTTGGGTTTCTTTCAGTGAACAAGCATTTCAGTGTGCTCATGACGCAGTGAAAATAGCATGTATGCACTGTTTCCCAAGTAAAGTTGCCAAGTAAAGTGAGCTAATTGTAACACTATATCCCATATAATAAATCTCAAACTTTCAAATACAAGCTTCTCTGCATTGATTCACCTTTTGATGAAGATGGTGTGCTTTTATTTGTACAACCTCTGCGTCTATATATATCAGGAATAAGATTTAAAATTGGTCATAAGATTAATAAACCATCAAGCCTCCATTTTGTGATTTTATATCTTACAGGGAATAAGCAGAAACTTAAATATTTAAAACAGATCAAATAAATATATAATGTAATCTGCCACATTGTTTCTGGGAAATTTCTCTAAAAGATAATGAGAATAATTTGTTATGAATAAAGTAATAAGATTAAGTTGTTTTATGTTTATTCTTCAATTTTACCAGGAAAAGAATTACTAACAGGTTTCACCTCACATGTCAGTTTCAAATTAGTTGATAATAGCAACATATGTTCATGTTAAGAAAGGTTCTAAGGTTGAGACTGGCTTAGCAGAAAGAGTTTTATAACTGGATTATGTTTTCTAAGGACACAGGTCAGGCAGGCATGTAAGATCTATATTTGCCCTGCTTCCAAATAGTAGGAAGAAGAATTAAAATTTAAGTTTTATGTTTAGAGATTACTAGAAGCATATCAGTCTGCGCTGACAATATCATTTAACTGAATGACATTTTATTCATCCTGTAGGTCAATGCATCACGTCAAGAAGCCAAATTGACAGAAGAATGTGATCTTCTCATTGAAATTATTCAGCAAAGACGGCAGATTATTGGAACAAAGATTAAAGAAGGCAAGGTATGTTATCCTGGGCAGAAATTTTTTATATTTTCTACCTGGAGAATACATACTCTCTCATACATATTTCCAGCTTTGAAAATATAAAATCACTCTCTCTGCATTTGCCATAATTTCTTCCTAAGTATCTGCCTTAGTCCATTTTGTGTTGCTTTAGTGGAATGCCTGACATAGAGTAGTGAAGAAAGAAAAGAGGATTTGGCCCATAGTTCAGGTGGTTGAAATTTTCAAATAGCATGGCGCCATATTTGTTAAGTGCCCCTGGCTGTATTACTGTAGTGAGTGTCCAGCCAGAATCTGTTGAGGATACATTTTCCCCTGGAGCACCTTCATTCTCCATTTGAACTCATCTCTTATTCCTGCCATATTCTTGTTTCTCAGATGCCTAGTTTCCTGAAATATAGCCATTGTTAATTGTTAGTATGAACAAGGAAGACAATCACATGATTACATTCAGGGATCAATACTCTTCATAGCCATATAAATTCCTTTTGCAATTTTCCTGTTTTTAATGTTAAATTGAGAACTTACAGTTGTGTATATTATTGGATGCAATATTATTATGCTATTGTTTATGAATACAACGTATTCTACATCAAGCTAAGTAACATATTCATCACCTCAAATACTCATTTTTGTGGTTATAATTTTTTTAAATGTAATGCTCTCTTAATTTTGAAATGTATACTAGTTTACATCTGGCATGCTTATTAATCTGTACAATGTATATGAAACTTAAAAAAATCTGTTTAATTGTCTGTGTACACTTCTCATAGCTGTTATAAATTACCAAAAACTTGGTAGCCTGGAACCTTCTTACTGATTATTTTAGCATTCTGGAATTCAGAAGTCTAAAAAGCAGTCTTACTAGATTAAAGGCTGTATAGGTTCATGCAATGCTGGTAAGCTATTCCTTTTTTTTTCAAGTTTGTATAGGTCATTCATGGTCCTTGAGTCACAACTACTTCGTTATAGCCCTCTACCTTCTATTACTACCCTCCCCATATACTTGTCTAACATGAACCTTCCTGTCTCTTTTTTATAAAGACCTTAGATATTACTTGGAAATCATCCACATAATCCTGAACAACCTTAACTCCTGAAGATCCTTAACCTAGACAGCTACAAAACTTCTTTTGTTTGGAAGATACCATTTTCGAGGTTTCCCCAAGGTACAGATGTGGACTTCACTGATAACCTGTATTCAGAATTTAATAACATTTCATCTTAACTCCTCAGCAAGCATGCTCACCATTACATAGCTGCAGCTTGAATTTCTTGGCATGAGAGTTCCCTTCATGAGCTAGAGGACAGTAGTAAAAGATATTTCATATTTAGCCATGGTTATATGTATTCTTTGTATCACTCACTCCACTACAAACATACACTATTAATAAAAAAATAGAACAAAATGGTCCAGAATGAAATAAAAGAAGTATTTCCGCGGAGCAGAAATGGAACAAAAATACAGTATCATAATTGGGGCTCAAAGTACAGGTTTGGTCAAGAAAATGCAAGTACAGTTGCATTTTCAACTCCTGTGGCTGAAAACACTCTTGAAGTTTTGTAGGTAGGATCTAGAATTGCTTTGAATCTAATGGAGGGCAGTAACAGGCTCGTGCCTTAGTTCCACGAACTTTAGAAGGCTTCTCATTTTTTAAAAAAAATCAGGAAAACATTATTGCCAATGTCTGCCTGGCAAAAAATCTTTTGGCAAACTTCTGTTCTGGGGTTCTGGAACAAGTCAGTGGTTATGTGGGCTCTGTGCCCACTCATTCTGCCATCACACAAGAAAGGTGCCTCAGAGATATAGAGATAAGACAGGATTCCAGAGTGCTGAACCCGAGGGCCAGGTTAAGTGAAGGCAACTGTTGTAAAACCATTATAGTAGACTGAGTAAGGGAGAGCAAGGAGTTATCTTCAGCTTCTTTTCCTTAAAACTGAAATGCTAAGCTCAGTTCCAAAGCAAACAAAAAAAAATCTTCAGTTTCTAAAACTACAGCCAACAAAATCGACAGCATTATCTTACTCTAAGTGAGATTAGTTTTGCAAGAAAATAAACCACAGACTTGAAAAGAGACAGTTCAGAGATTAGAAATCACATTTATTTTAAAAGAGCAAGAAACATGTGAAACCGCAGGCAAAAAGAACTGAAAGAAGAAACATGTCGATAGGAATGCAATAAATAAGCAGTTTTGCTGGTAAACTTACAGACAATTATGTGACAAAAAAACAGCTACAGAATAAATTGGGAAACTGAGTTTTGGCCTCCACCTGGAGAATTCTTAAATGTAGGAAGGGACAAAAGAGTATGAGTGATATTTGAGCATGACAGATGTCCATGGACTCAATGATTAAGCTAGATTAATATTTTAAATGCTAGTCCTGACCATCACCTGGAGATTTAAAAATATTCATTGCTTGTTAAAATGCAAATTACTGCTGCTCTGCCAATTACAGCTCATTAACTAGAATATTGGAGGATGTGCCCAGACATCTAGAGTTTTCCTTTGAAAGATCCCAGCTGATTCTTTTACATACAGTGTTTGAGAATCTCTGATGCCACTGTATACTGACCTATAATTAAAAGAAATCTTTAAATGGTTCTCTCTAGAACATACTGGTAGTTTCACAGGATCCTCTTGTTTTTCTTTTACGTCAATATATGCACAGTTTAGGTTGCTTTTATTTCTTTCTTGTCCTGGCATGTCATTTATAATTTCCAGTATCCTGACAGAAAAAGCAGAAATATATGAAACTGAAGAGCAGTCATTGTCACGTGTGTAATACATATGGTCTCTTCTTCCCATAAGCAAAAGGATAAGAAGGTAGCATGAAATGAATCCAGAACAATAGTTTGACTTCATTTTCTTTTATTAGAATTGTCAGCTTGATAATGTAATTTATTCTTTATGTTATATGATAAATATCCTAGTCATTTGGTTTATGGCAAGGACTATTAGAATTTTTACCATGCTTGAGGCCACATACTTTTAGCTTCCAAGACTGGACATTTCATTCTGACTCATTATTTTCATGGATTCTTTTCAGCCTTCCCTAAAATCTTGGGCCCACCACCTTTCAACTCAGATGTAGTTTCCTTTGTTTGCTGTAGTACATACTTGGAATTGGACATTCCCTAGAGTCCTACAGATCTGACATCTCTTTCCTTCCTTTGCTTCAAGATTAGAGTTGTCATGGAATGATAATGATGACTTGGGAGAAAGCAGAAATTTCTTGAAGTTAGCAGGAATTCTGGAGGGAGTCTGAGCCTGCCTTGTAAGACAGATTAACCAGGCATCCTCCTTACCCTTTTACTCAAGGCTATTTTCCATTCCGGAATTATCAGAAAGCCAGCCAAAACCTGTCCCCTGTGGGAGCAGTAGGCATGAGGTGATTCCAATTACTGGTCTAATTTTAACTTGGCTTTTGGCCGGAGGGCCTCAGCTCACAGCATATTTCAAACACCAGGGCCATGGTCAAGTGGGTTACCTTAGACTTATCTTAGCCTGACCAAGAGGTTATGGTCAATTATGTTTGAGGGTCGTTTTCAAGCAAGACAGAATCAGGAACTGGAATGGAGGTTGTGAAACAAGTATGTGTTTTATCCCAAATGGGAAATGCTTATCAAAATAGTTATTACTTATCATGTGAACACAAAGTGCCTGGAAATGACATTCACAGTGAGAGGAAATGGCCCAGCTGTGCTTTTTTTGGCTTTCTCTCATCAGCTCAATAAGAAAAATATTAATCAATGAGAAAAATGTTCCCTTTCAGTTAACTTAATAAACAAGTTTTGTGTAGGATGGAAAATAGGAATATCTAATGCTTTCTGCCACAACTTTATTATATAGATTACAAGAAGATTTTTAGAAAAAATATATTTTACTTAAGCCTCAAATTTACACCTACAGAAATGCTTTATTTTCTTAATGGCACAGCTGAAAACCTTAGATGAAGAAAGTTCCAGGGTTCCCTAAGGTCTTGGAGTAATTATGTGGAATAGTAGAGGGAAGAAGTTCAGGGACCCTTTGTCACTTGCCGCTGGACAACACCTTTTTTTCCCATCAACAAGGAAGTAATTAGCAATGCAGTATTTCCTCATAAAACAAATTACCAATGCTTCTGCAAGGAGATAAAGTTTAAGTCCCATAATTGAGCCTTCCAGATTTCAACATTTCTCTGCTTAGACATAACAGAATGTAAATCTTGGAAGAGTCCAGCTTTGTGCCATTTCACAAGTATGCCTAGTGTGTAACCATGACTATCATGCTTCTTTTGTTCTAGGTGATGAGACTCCGCAAACTAGCTCAGCAGATTGCAAACTGTAAACAGTGCATTGAAAGGTCTGCATCACTCATTTCCCAAGCAGAACACTCTCTGAAGGAGAATGACCATGCGCGTTTTCTACAGACAGCAAAGAATATCACTGAGAGGTGAGTGCAGGGGTAGCTGGGACGTTTTCAGGATATTGATTGCTTGTGTCTGGTTGTGACTGATTGGCCTTGCTCTCAAACTCACTTTGTTTTCATTTCAAGGTTGAGAACCAGAGAAAATAGAAGCTTTTGCTCTTTTGCTCCAGCTAAGGATACTTCCCTTTTGACATAACAAAATCCTTTCCATAACAGCATAGAGTTCAAGGTCTTTGTATTAACAGTTCACCTGTTACAATAAAACCAACCATTTTCTGTGTGGAGGGGTTGAGGTGGTCATGGGATCAGTAAAGACAGCATTTGTTGTGATTCTCAAACTTGATCTTATCATATCCTTGTTAACAAAGAATGGAAGTGCAGACAAAATACATAAAAGGAAATTTTATCTTGCATGGTTCATTTGTCTAAAGGAAACAACTGCACAGGTGTTGTTCTCTGTTAGTCTTGTTTTTTTACTAGGCTGAGAAGGTTGACATTACCTGAAAAGGCCAAGGCTGATTCACTAGAGAGAGAAAGGTCAAACAGTTAACCTCCCACTACCTTATTTGAAAATACCTTCTATTCCTGGGGCGGAAAACAAGAAACAGCGTTACTTATATAGTCAGTTCATCAGTACAAAGGATGAAGATGAGCTTTCTAATGGTACATTTATATGTTTAATATAGAAATTACTCATTGCCCTGTTCATGGACCCATTTAATAAATCTAGTAGATCCAAAGAGAAGGCATGTCTGTATACAACAGTGCCAAATAAATGACATTTCTAGGCAACACCAAACATCTTGACTTTCCATTTATTCTGATTTTCAAGTGCCCTTTATGCAAAACCATAACATAATTGTATCATTAAAAGAACCCAAAGAACTCATTCATCCTGGCTTGTATTCGAGAGTAGAGACCACAGTTCTGTTACAGAAAGTAAATTATTTTCAGGTTTTAAGGGATCTATCACAGTTACTCACTGCTGCCTGGGTAGCTCTGCTTTAGCCACAGGGAGCTAGTGGGTGTGGCTGTGTGCCAATGAAACCATTCACAGTACAAGCTGCAGGTGTTCCTTTACCAATCCATTGGCCTTAGAGGGGAAACATTCTCACCACCTTAAGATTTGAATTTCTTCAAAGAAGGAGAAAGGAAACTAACACTTACAGATGCTTGCTTTTGTCAGACACCATTTTCACTGTTCTTTAAGAATATATAGTGTTTTCATAACCCCGGTCTCTTATTGGTCAGCCCTCTTTACTGTTTTGTTCTCATATTTGAGAAAAATTCCCTTTACAGCTAGTTAGCTATCTCCCATGAAGGACATGGATAACTGCTGGCCTTTAAATGCTCTCCTCTCTATAACAAGAGAAGCAGATTTTTTTTCCTCATGGCTACTAGATTTCAAATGTCTGCTTTGCACTTTTCATCTGAACCATGTCTGTTTTCTTACTTTTTATTCTCACATTAAACACACAAACACCTTATCTACCACTGCTTTCCATTGCATACAATACACTCTAAAGATGGTTTACACACATGTCAGAGATTCCCCACTGGGGTCTGACAGTCAATTTCTCTATGAATTGGGGCATATCCAGATTAAACAACTGCTGTAAATTTCCTCAGCAGTCCTTACAAATTCAACTGAATGTGGCTTGAATAGATTTGCATCTAACTGACAGGGGAAAGGGCCAGTTAACAGTTACAGCAGGAAGAGACTTGTATTTGAAAGATAGCACAAGCACCTAAATGTGTATACACATGCACACTGATCCCTCTTTGATCTGGTGAGCAGGTCTTCTCCCATTATCTCATCTTGTAATGTGAGCATATCATCAAGAATGGAAGGGTGGCTGCCATTCCTGTTTCCATTTAAAAAAAAAAAAAGTGCTCTTCTCAAGTAAGAATACAGAATATCTGTAAAAATTCACTAGAAGACCTTTGTTTCTGTTTTTGCTCTCTTCATCTCTTTTGTGACTCAGGATAGAGTAAAAGTGGACTGAGCTAGGGTAAGAAATTGGGAGATCAAGATTCAAATCCCAGCATAGCCACTTTGCTCAGAGATGTCATTTCTGTAGCATTGCTTGACTGTATCTATCCTTGACTTGTGATTATCTTTGAAGCAACTGGGATTATTACAGGTTTTTACAAACATGGGGATGAGTGAATTTTGTACCAATGTACAAAATCCCTTACCTATGTCAGTTCCATCAGGGGGGAGCAATTTTCTGTTTGGAAAATGTGCTTGTGGCAGCTATCCGTATAATAAAAACAATGCTGAAAACTCCTCAGAATAGATCTTTTCCATCACAGACATTCTGTGAGTGCAGCCTGAGTGGATGTTTTAAACCTTCATGTTTCAGTTTCAACCCATTTGTTTGCCTTTTCCATTTTACTGTTAACTTGCTTCTATTCCACGAGCTCTCAGTTAAAATACAGTATGACTTCTGAGTTGTATCTTATAATCCATCCACCTTGGATTTTGACACCTAAACATTTGACATCACTTCTACTCAAAACGTGAAACCCAGAACACCCTTTCAGTACTGCAGACATGCTTAAAGTAAGAATGTGTCAATAAAATCATTCACAAAATAAACTGGCATTTTCTTCTATAGACTGAATCAGAATTGCAACAACTTTTTTCTTTCAAATAAGAGGTATTTAAATAAATTTACAGCAGAGTGAGAGCCCTAATCTTTACATTGTGAGAGATGCATATCCTTTGGAATCAACTGTTTGGCTCTGTCCTAATTGTGTAATAATCATGAATAGAATCAGGGGTTCTCATTAACATGTATCTGTCCAGTTTTGCTTATCTCTTCAAGTATGCAGGAACCCTAGGCATGTGTTCAGAATACTAGCCTCAGCATACTGTAAACTATATACAAAATACAAAATTATTCCTACAAAATAGTATATTTTATTTTTTTAATATTAATTAAAGTTTATTCACTTTGTATCCTAGCTGTAGCCCCTCCCTTATTCCCTCCCAATCTCACCCTACCTCCCTCAACTCCTCCCATGCCCCTCCACAAGTCCACTGATAGGGGAGGTCCTCCTATTAGGACCAAATAAAACGATGATGCACAGAGCAGATTTTATATGAAAGAGGTTTATTATATGGAGATGAAGAGAAAGAGAGAGGAGAGAGTGAGACATGATAGAGGGAAGAGAGAGAGGGCACCCTGAAAGAGAAAGGGGAGAGGGTAAGAGATGATAGGGCAAGAGAGACAAAGTGGTGGGTTGAACCTCTTAAGGAGCAATAAAACCATGTCTGCCAGGTGTGGCTACAAATTATGACATCATAGGTAGCTAGGCAACCCAGAAGTAGGCTGCCTAAATACTAATACCTCCTCCCTTCCCATCTGACTCTAGCCTATCAGGTCTATCAGGACTGGCTGTATTGTCTTCCTCTGTAGCCTGGTAAGGCTGTTCCCCATTCAGGGGGAGAATAGAATTGTTATAAACATAAAATGAATACAGAAATAAAAACAGTCCAGCTCTTGCCACAAAGGTGAATAGGTAATAAGTTCCCTCCTTTCTTCCAAGTATGGTGTGTTAACATTGTTCTTAAGCTGCCACTGGTGTCATTACATAGTGATCTTTTGAGCAGTATATTAAATGAGCGAAAGTATTTACTAAATCCAGGCATAAGAAACTTCATGCACTCTTTCCCAGAAATCTAATAATATCTTTTTTGTTTGTTTTTCCTTAATCAGTTAGTTAGTTAATTTGCTTTACATCCCTTCCAAAGTTTCCCTTCCCTTCTTTCCTCCCAGTCATTCCCCCCCAATCTCACCTCCCTCACCCATCCCTCCTCCTCCCTTTCTCTTCAGAAAAGGGGAGGCCTTCCATGAATGGCAATCAGTCCTGGCATATCAAGTTCTGGTAGCACTAGGCACATCATCTCCAATTGCAGTCCTATAGGAGAAATGAGTCCAAAAAGCAGGCAACACAGTCAAAAACAGACCTTGGTCCCAATGTTAGGAATTCCATGTGAAGAAACAAACTGAACAACTCTTATATATGTGCAGAGGGCCTACTTCAGTCCCATGCATGTATACCTGGTTGGCAGTTCAGTCTCTGTGAACCCCTTTGGAGCCAGGATAGTTGATTCTGTAGTGTTTTTGTGGTGTCTTTGACCCCTCTGGTTCCTACAATTCTTACTCCCCCTTTTCAACAGGATTCCTCAAGTTCTGCCTAATGTTTGGCTGTAGGTCTCTGCATCTGTTTCCATTAGTTTCTGGGTGAAGCTTCTCTGATGGCTATGCTAGGCTCTTATCTGCAAGTATAGCCAAATATTCTTAACGCTTGTCAGGGTAGGCTCCCTCTCATGGTAAGTGTCTCAAGCTGGACCCTTCTCATTGGTTGGCCATTTCTCAATTTCTGCTCCATCTTTACTCCTGTACATCTAATGATAAATTCTAGTTCGAAGGTTTTGTGTCTGAGTTGATGTCCCAATCCCTTAATTGGGAATCTTGCCAGGTCACAGAAGATTGATGTTTCAGGCTGCATATCCCTCATTGCTAAGAGTTACCTCATAGATTCCTGGAAGTTTCCATTTCCCTAGATTTCTAGCTCATCCCAGAGATGGACCTCCCTATCCATTCCAGTTATCTCTTCCAGTACTCTCTCCCTCTGTCCTCCCCGAACTGATCCTTCCTATTTCTATCCCCTACTCCCATCCCCATCCAGTGCACCCACCCCCCTCTACCCACAATGTCTATTCTAAAATTACTTTTAATAGCAAATTGTCTTTATCAAGAGAAGGCTAATTAAATTCCTTGGGAACAAAATGAATTTTCAGATCACCTAAAATTTTCTGTACTTTGAGGTGATCTCTTTATTCCTTACCAGCACAAACAATTCAAGGATCTGCCAGGATTTTCTAAAAAAAAAAAAAGTCAAGATTTCCAGTTGGCAACTTTGGAGAAATGTTCCTTGGTTCTAAGAATCAGAGCATATCCCATGTGTGGGCTTTGAAATGCTGTCTGTAGGGTGTTGATAATTTAATAGATGTTATAACTGCACTACATTTCCATGGCCAAATGCGTTTGGGAAATCTTGAGCTGACCAAAGTTAAACACATACACATTTTGTTTCTGTAGTACCTCAATGTGTTTGACCATGGCAGTGTGTGGTGTTTGGCAAAAGACTGCAAACAGCATCTCTCTAGACATGTCTGCCCTCTGGAATACTGGCATTATGTGACTACCAAGTGAGTATTCTGCAGATTAAAGACACTAAAGCAGAAACACATACATAAGAGTAATGGTCAACCCTTCTACACACACACACACACAGAGAGAGAGAGAGAGAGAGAGAGAGAGAGAGAGAGAGAGAAAGAGAGAGGAGGCAGAAAGAATAAAGCAAAGAAGAAAGAAGCCTAGCACTAACTGCCCTGTTGGATGTTGGCAGTATAAAAAACCAGAAGATGGGCAACAAGGATTTTGGGATATAAAAACATGCCCTAAAATGTTGAATTTGGCAGATTTCCCTTTACCTGTCTTTCCAGTTGACGATTTGAAATTGTAGCCAAAGATAAGCATCTTTCCTTCCACCAAGGGAAGAAAACCTGTAGGTGTTAAAAGCTGCAGTAATCTCCAAAGATTTCTTTTGTCAGTCTTTGCCTCCCAGGCTAGATATTATCTTCCTTCTCTGGCCTACACAAAGTTCCCACTGTCAAAATAGTGGGAGCGTTTACTATGTCATTTGACAAAAACACATTTTATTTATTGTTTGTTGACCCAAGAAACAGTACAAATTTGAAAATATAATCTGTTTTGGATGTACCTGAACAAAGAGGCTTCTGCCTCTAAGAAGAGAAATAATAAAGACAGATTGTCTGTATTCAGAGCAGTCTCATCAATTGACATGAGACTTGGGCTTCAAAAGTGACTAAGAAAAAGGCTTCCTACAAGCTTGATTCAGTTCTTCCAATTGAAGGCTATGAACTAGAACTCATAGAAGGGATTTTTTTGTAATTATTATTTTGAAATATTTTTGAGGCATCCAAAGGGCACTAAAGCATATCTTATAAGTTTTCTGCATTGATGTGACTATTGTGGGCCCTTTGGTATATAACAGACTTTATGAGCTTCATGAATATTTGTTAAAGGTACAGTTTATTTAGCAACCATCCCTTTATCCACCCAGCTACATTAGCTATTGCTAGTTTCAATAATTAATGTCATATTTATTCAATCAAACCATAAAATGCTATTTTTCAAAGAGTCCTTGTGAGCTGATCAGGAGGTGACATTACATTGTCTACAATCTTTTTTATACTTGAATATTTCATTTATTGCGCTTACATTGCCTTAGACTTTCTTCCCATTGTCAATATTATTAGGACATTGCAGTTTAAAAGTCTCCTTTTTTCCCTAGATAACATTGAACTTTTGCCAGAGATACAGCTAGAGAAACTGTTTGCATCATTTTGCATGTTTATTCTTATTTTTTCATAAGGATCAAAATCTATATTTTTTTTGTTTGTCAATACCAAAACAAAAGCTCTTAAAGGTATATGACAAGGTGTTTTCATCTTTCCCACTCCTAATTTTTCTTGAGAGAAGATATTACTTTAATAAGAACTTGAAATGTGTCTCCTTCTGAATTAAAATTTTAAGATTATTTAAATATATTTGCACTCATGCGGCTTTTATACTTTTCTCTGCAAAGTATAAAGTATACTTTTTATTATTAATTACACTTTATTCATTTTGTATCCCCCCATAAGCCCCTCCCTCCTCCCCTCCCGATCTCACCCTACCTCCCCTTTCTGCATACGTGCTCCTCCCCACGTCCACTGATAGGGGAGGTCCTCCTCTCCTTTCTTCTGATCTTAGTCTATCAGATCACATCAGGAATGGTTGCATTGACTTCTTCTGTGGCCTGGTAAGGCTGCTCCCCCCTCAGGGGGAGGTGATCAAAGAGCAGGCCAATCAGTTTATGTCAGAGGCAGTCCCTCTTCCCATCACGATGTAAGCCACTTGGACACTGAACTGCCATGGGCTACATCTGTGCAGGGGTTTTAGGTTATCTCCATGAACAGTCCTTGTTTGGAGTATGAGTCTTTGAGAAGTTCCCTGTGTTCAAATTTTCTTGTTCTGTTGCTCTCCTTGTGGAGTTCCTGTCCTCTCCAGCTCTTGCTATTTCCCACTTCTTACATAAAATTCCATTCACTCTGCCCACCAGTTGGCCATCAGGCTTAGCATCTGTTTTGATAGTCTGCAGGGCAGAGGCTTTCCAGAGGCCCTCTGTGGCAGGTTCCTAGGTTGTTTCCTGTTTTCTTCTTCTGGCTTTCAGAGGCCCTCTAGCAGGTTCCTAGGTTGTTTCCTGTTTTCTTCTTCTTCTGATGTCCATCCTCTTTGCCTTTCAGGATGGGGATTGAGCGTTTTAGTTAGGGTCCTCTCTTTTGCTTAGTTTGTTTAGATGTACCGATTTTAGTGGGTTTATCCTGTGTTGTATGTTTATATGAGTGAGTATATACCGTGTGTGTCTTTTTGCTTCTGTGACAACTCATTCTTTTTATTATTGTGAAATTCACAAAGAGTAAAATTAACTGGTTAAAGAATACAATTTAATAGCTATGCCTATTCTGGATATTTCATATGATTCATGACCTTTTTGTTCACCTTTTTGTAATATGATGTTTGCATGGTTCATCCATATTTTAGCATGTGTAAATACTCCATTCCTTTTTGTGGCTGTATCCTACTTCTATTACATGGATAGATGCCTAGCCAGGGTAAAGGGTCTTTGCGAAAATCCAACACTTTAAGAGTTATTAGAAGACACAAGAGAGGCTGTAATGCTTAGAGTAACGCTGGTATCAAACTTTTCTCATAAAATGGAGTTCACTGGAGAGGACAGGAACTCCACAAGGAGAGCAACAGAACAAGATAATTTGAATATAGGGAACTTCCCAGAGACTCATACTCCAACCAAGGACTATCCGTGGAGATAACCTAGAACCCTGACAAGGCAGCCACTTCTGATGAGAAGTGATAGACTAAGATCAGAAATAAGGAGAGGAGGACCTCCCCTATCAGTGGACTTGGGGAGGGGCATGCATGCAGAAAGAGGGGAGGGTGGGACCGGGAGGGGAGGAGGGAGGGGCTTATGGGGGGATACAAAATGAATAAAGTGTAATTAATAAAATAATAATAATAATAAAATGGAGTTCACACGTGAAGTTCTCCTGATTGTTGCCAGCTAGCTCTGAGATCTCATGCAAATGATTATCAATGTTCTTTATAAAAAATAAGTAACTAAATTTATATCTAAGCCATCAAAATTTTTTATTGCAAAAAAAGAAATCAGTATCCTAATGTTTATGGAACTTTAAAAAAAAACATGAAATGCAACAAGATAAATCTAGCATCATTTTTCTGTGCTAAGTAGAATTCTTCAAGTGGATCTAGAAACCAAAGATAGAATTTACTAGAATGTTCTGCTGCTAGTAACTGAACTTTCCAGATCACTGCAAGAGCACATAGGGGACAAACACGTATACCTTGCTTTATAGTTTATAGATGAGCTCTCGCCAGAAAACCTGAGTGTGGAGAAGAAATTGTGTGCCTACTGGGGAAATTTGTGAGAAAGCTTATGAATGTATTCCATGGTATCTGCTGGGGGGAAAAGTGAATATAAGGAGAATGAAAGAAAACCAGACAAAACCCTCCTTTTGAATGTTTATTTTAGAGAGAGGCTAGTAATTGATTAAACTAATCCAATATCTAGAAACATTCTTTTTTAATCTTCACTTTGCCTTTTATGCAGTTTGAAATTTTGGAGACACTGCTTTGAAGTAGAGCACGGGCGAGTCTGAAAGGAACAAACAGATTCCCAGACAGATGTGTGAAGAAATGCCTGCAGCGATATGCTTCTTGCTGGGATTAGATGTGACTGTACCAGGCTGTAAATACGCAGGAACATGAAATATGAATATTCTTTTGCCTCCATGAGGAATTTTTTTTCCAATAGCATAAAAGAAAGGGAAGACACTGTGTTGTTTCTCCCAGTTCCTTTGCTTTTTCTTTAAGTTTGCTTTGTGTTATTGCATTATGCCATTCAGAGATGCTACTTTTAAAATACCTAATACTTTTTTCCTTTTTATTTCTCATTCCTTTACAATGATGATAAAAGCCACCTTGACATTTCTTAAAATGTTGTTTTCTTTAAATTACAGAGTCTCCATGGCAACTGCATCCTCCCAGGTACTAATTCCTGAAATCAACCTCAATGACACATTTGACACCTTTGCCTTAGATTTTTCTCGGGAGAAAAAACTGCTAGAATGTCTGGATTACCTTACAGGTATTGTCTTATTATCTCTTATGTTCCCTCTAGTATAGCATATATTCACTTTGCCATTAGATCAATTGTTTTCTAAACACCACACATGTGCTTCAGTCTTTGAAATGCTATATAATAGTCCCATAAATGATTAATATACACTCTGTATTTTTAACCTAAATAACACAGAAACTAAATATAAATTGGTACAAGAAAATAAAGAAAATCCTGATTGCTAAATGTGTCCTTACCACCATTTTCCTCACTCTTAACATGAATATGATCAAAGAAATAGCACATGTAGCCATCAAAGAGATGCATAAAGTTTCATGGATATTTTTCACCATGTTAGAGAGTCATCTGTCTTTTGTAGTGCATTAATGGTGGGAAAACAAAAGCCACACAGATAGCTGTCCACCTATACCTCTCTAGTGATTTGTATTTGTGATCTTATCTAAGTTGTCACAGTATCAAATTTTGGTAAAGCATTATAATATTCATTTTAGAATTGGTAAATTTTAGCCATCATGCTGAAGGTCAGATAGAAAAGGAGTGAGCACAATTAAGATCTAGCTCAGTTCTGAATGTACTGTATAGACCTCTGTACTTTCTAGTAAAAAACTGAATTTCATGTTGCTCTCAGAAACATCACATAAATACCTTTGCAATTCCAGATGGCATATTTCAGCCCTAAACTCTCTACATGGCTTTCCTCTCCCTTTCTCTTTCCATCATCAGTCTTTCCATCTCTCCTTCTCTTCCACTTCCTTCCTTCCTTTCTTTTTGGCTTAAAAAATGAGGAAAAGAAACAGGATGAAAAGAAAAATTAGTGCGACTCATACTCCTAGGAGTAAATCTAAATCTTTCCTTTGCTCTTAGCCTTTGCAGCAGGAACTAAGCTCAACAATTGGTAGAATGAATGAGGACCATTTAGACAAAGTCACTTGTGTTAGCCAAAGTCACCAGGACCTGTGACTTCAGGAAAGCACCATGTACACAGTGAAGCCAGATGTGCCCTGTACTTAGGAAATAACGTCTTCTAAAAACCGCATCCTTAACTGAGCATGGTTTCATTCCTCAACTCCTAGCCAGTATGTGCATGTTTGTGGGAGAGTGGTTGGGGAAGGTGGAGCCAAAGAGAAGGATTATTGTATAGCATTTGTTTTTATATTGTGTGGATAGAAAGCAAGTAGTTATACACTCCATGCTTTTTTTTTTCCTTGTGAGAACCCCAGCTGCCCATTTTAACCTTTATTCTGCGTTTGCAAGCAGAGTGAGTTATCCCACAACACATCTCCTTATCTTGTAGAGTTCTTTCTTTCAAAAATATGGTTTCTACAAAAGAAGAAAGCATTTGATTTGCAAGGCATTTACACTGTGGAACCAAATCTAGTTTCAGATATTTATGGATATGATACCTCCTTTCTTTAGCTTTTGATTTTGAGACTGGGCTAAAGCACTCCAATCTAGTAAAACATTTTATGATAATAGAAATGTTCTATGTTGAAGATAGTTAATATATTAGTTTTTAAAACTTGAAATATGGATATGGTGAAATGTGATTTTTTTATTTAATTGTTTTTATAATTTATTCACGACATTCTGATTGTAGCCCCCTCCCTCATCTCCACCCAGTCCCACACTCCCTCCCTCTTCCCCTTTATCTGCCTCCCCTATTCCTCAGAAAGAGGAGCCCTCCTCCCCTACCAGCTCACCCCAGCCTATCAAGTCTCATTGGAATTGCCTCCTTCCTCTTCCTCTATGGCCTGGTAAGATCCTACCTCCACCGGGGGAAGTAAACAAAGAATAGGCAAAAGAGTCCATGTCAGACAGCCTCTGCTTCCCTTACTAGTGAATCCACATGGAGACTGAGCTGCCTATAGGCTACATCTGAGTAGATGTCTAGGTCCTTGCTTGGTGCATCAGTCTCTGCAGGAACCCCTGAGCCCAGATTTGTTGCCTCTGTTCTTCTTATGGTGCTCCTGTACCCTCCATATCCTACTATTCCACTACTCTTTCCTAGGATTCCCTGTACTCTGCCCAAAGTTTGGCTATTAGTCTTAGCATCTGCTTCAATCCCCTGCTGGGTGGAGTATTTAAGAAGGCATCTATTGTAGGCTCCTGTCCTGTTCCCTCTCTTCAACTGCTTTTGGTGTCTATTCTATTTGCCCTTATTAATGAGAATTAAGTATCCTGCTGAAGGTCCGCCTTGTTATTTAGCTTCTTTTTTTCTGTGGATTGTAATATGGTTATCCTGTATTATATATCTAATATCCACTTATAAGTGAGTATGTATCTTATGTGCCTTTCTGCTTCAGGATTACCTCACTCAGGATAATCTTTCCTAGTCCCACCATTTGCCTACAAATTTCATGATCTCCTTGTTTGTAATTGCTGAGTAGTAGTCCATTGTGTAAATGTACCACAATTTCTCTATCCATTCCTCAGTTGAGGGAAATCTAGGTTGTTGAATATAGTTAGAAGTTAAGTACCTACGTGGTGTGCATAGTTTCTGAATTGCAGTACAATGCACTATTCACATTTTTCTCTTTTATTTCTCTGATATCTTCATTTGTGGTCTTTTCACAACATGAATACTCTACCTACTGCTGAAGTTTTATCCGAAATTACAAGATAAAGGAGGGAATAATGGCAAAATGGCATGGCTAGCCAAGTATGGCTTTGTTTATCAAAAAAAACAAAACTATTCCTTGAAAGACCTACCTAGAAAATTTTCACTTAAGTCTCTTGGAACATATCCATGTCAGAGGATCATTCCCAAGCCCAGAAGAAACTAGAAAATTAAATATTTTCCCAGGAATATGGTCTTGGTGCATCAAATCATCTTGGTGTTCTTGTGTCATCAGCAAGAATATATCTTCAGTTCCCAACAATCAATATATTTAAAACGGATGTCCATTTAAATTTCTGTAGGGAGTAGAATTCATTTACTAAAAAGGAAGCTGTGAAAGTAGTATTCATGACTTAGTAACATGCATGCCTTATGGCTGTTTATTCCAAAGTAAAGGGAGGGCATATCAGGAACCTAAAATTTTGCTTTTTGATTCCTGAACCCCAAATTCAGTCCATTTCTAGATATAGCAATTCTTGCCATAACATACAATGCTTGGCTGATATGGCCAAGTCCAAATAGTTTTTCCAATATTTATAAACAAGAAACCAAATTTTTGTGGTATATTAGCCCACCATTCCTTGTGTTTGTGATGAAGGTGAGAAAATAATAGTTCTGGTATTGATTTTGTGGGTACTGAAATTGGCAATATGCTGTAGTTTTCATTTACAGAAATTTAGGAATTCACTAATTTGGGGTTTGTAATCAAAGCAGAGTTAGCCTGCCTGGCTGTGCAAACAAGAGTTTTTTTCCTATGACATGCCTCTAAGTGGTGTGTCAAGTTAATAATCCATAGAGGTGACATTTCCTGCCTGATCGTAACTACTGCCATGTGCCTCACAACTACTTGCCTATTTTAAAGTTAAAATTTTCTGTCTATTTAGTCATATATTGCTATGTATACAGCACAAAAAAAAATCTATCTTTCCACAATGATTAATGGAGAAAGAATTCAACTATTTCAATCATGAAAGACTATGTTGTTGTTCACTGATGAACACAGGGATGATCCCAGAGCAACAATGACCACACAGACAAAAACAAACACATTTTTTATGACACAGCAGTATCTACATGGAATGCATCTCCTGATTTGTATCACTTATTCATACATACCCAAGTCACACTGGGCAAAACTAAATTTCACGTGTTGTCTCTTCGTATGTGAAATGTTCAAACACGCATTTCCAGAAAAATGTTTGAAAGGTTATGAGGAATGCTTATTTCTTTTTTTCCATTTACTTATTTTTCATTTGTGGATATCATTTTGAGATAAGATCTACTGTATAACCTAGACTACCCTCATACCCACATTCTTCCTACCCCTACCTTATAATTTATAATTGAGATTATAAATGTGTACCATCAGACCCAGCTGAGCCCTTTTTATTAATGAAGCCATTGTGAAATTCAAACTAACAGGCAAAGCTTTTTATGACTTGTGCTAAATGTTTTTTCAGGTGTCAAAGTGAAGAAAATTAAAGGAGAATTTTAAATTTACCATTTTTATAAAGGCCTCCCCTCCTCCACCTTTTATTTTTTACAATTTAACAGCTCTAATCAGAAACTAATCTAAAATAGAAAATACCTATGCAATAGTGTAAGTAAGAGTTTTTCTAAATCCATAGAATGCAAACACGCTTTTCTCTTTGAAGTTTACCTCCAGTGTACAGAAGAGTATAAAGAAAAGCTGTAGATCAATTTTCTAAACCAAAGGCTAGTAAACTTTGACTGAAAATGGCCAGATGGCAGATATCTTCGGTTTTGCAAGCCATATATTTGTAACTACTCAGCTTTGTTATTATGTGTAAGCAGCCATAGATGGGCAATATCTGAGCAACTCATAGCTGTGTTCCAATAAAACTTTATTTACAAAAGTAGCTGTTGTGGGCTGAAGAGGTAGCTTGGTGGATAAGAGGACTGGATCGTCTTTCAGAGGACCAAGTTTTTATCCCAGCACCCACATGGTGGCTAAAATTTTCTGTATCTTCAGTTCCAGGGAATCTTATGACCTCTTACGGCCCCCACAAGCACTGCAAACACTTGGAAACAAATAACTATTTACATAAAAAAACAACAAAAAGAATAGCTGTAGTTTGCCCACCTCTACTTTAAAATATTATTGCCAGTACAAAACACTTATAGCCTTGTTTTTCCTTCCTTATTATTCTCCTCATAAAATTACTTATTGGAATGAATCCAGTGTAAGTGATTTAGAAATCGTATGTTTTAATTGAATTTAAACTTCTGAGCTGTTGACTATGTCAAACAAAACAAAAGACTTCTGTAGTGGTAAAGGCAACCAAATGCAAGTATCCATGATTTTCTTAGTAAATAAGAATGTATTTCTAAGAGATGAGTGCTTGTTAATTGTGATCATTTTAATTAAACATACTACCTACAAATTAAAAGAGGAAAAGAAACTAGTTGTACACTAATAAATTTAGCAAGGCATCAAATACCTAATAATAGTAAATTTTCAACTATTTAATTGATTTGCTATGGGATAACAAATGATATTTCTCAAATATATGGTGTCATGTAGATAAGAGGTTGGCTAAGTGGGTTTCATGCAAAATCTGGCCCTGTGGCTATTATATAAATAAAGTTTTACCAGAGCATGGCCATACTCATTTATGTACAAATTATTTGTGTCTGCTAGCATGATACAATGGCAAGGTTAAGTAGTTGCAAGAGCATCAAGCCCTACAATAACTAAAACATTTACCATCTAGTCCTTTACTAGTAAAGCTTTCCAACCCCACCCTCCAAAGTGAATAAAATTATGAAAGTTTGTCTTGGTTACTTTTTCTATAACACGATTTTCTTTACACACAAGAAGCTATTGTTTGCTTAGTCTACTAAATATAGTCTCATTATAAATTGAGATAATGTCTTATTGGCTGGCTGGTTTTTAACCACATTTACATAAAAACAACAACAAATAAACCAAATAATTTCATAAGTAGACAACTGAATACTTTGGAACCAAAATTCCCATCATTAAGATAACAGACCTGGTAGACCTACTTAGGAAGACCTGCTTTTATAGTTAAATATCTCCAAAATGTGATCCTAATGGTGTCTATTGCTCCACTGACATGCATTCTTGATACCCACAGCTCCTAACCCTCCTACAATTAGAGAAGAGCTTTGCACAGCTTCCTATGACACCATCACCGTTCACTGGACTTCAGATGATGAGTTCAGTGTGGTCTCCTATGAACTCCAGTACACCATATTCACTGGACAAGCCAATGTTGTTAGTGAGTATCTTATGGCCTATTTACTTCTCTGTTTGATGACTGATTTCAAATAATCTGGGAAAAGGAATATAAACACCAAAAGGAGATAATAAGGAAGAAAAAAATTACAATATGTTTTGGTTTCTTTTTCCTGCTCAAGGAAGGGATAATGCTTACTTTGATTGCAGTGTGAAAACATCTGGTCAAGTATCAATAAAATTAACGTCTGGAAAACCACATGGATGAAGCTCATGAATATGTTGTTTGATGAAAGAAGCTGGTAACAACATATACACTGAAAATCCATTTATCAATTCATAACTTAATGATCAAAATAAACTATTCTTATTTTAAAATGAATTCCTAGAGGTTAAAAGTGTAAACATTAACTAGGATGTTGGTTATATTTTGAATGTAATAGAGAAAAGTGTCAGTGTGAAGAAATATATGGGGAAACTAGGGATAGTTTTCAGTAAAAGTATTTGTCTTACAAACATGAGGAATAGGGTTTAAGTCTCTAGTACTCATGTAAAATATCTAAGCACAGTGGCATTTGCATATTGGAGAAAGATGAAGACAAGAGAATCTTAGGAGATCAATGACCAGCCAGTATAACTAATCAGTAAGTCTCAGGTTCAATGGAAACCCTGGGTCAAAAAATAAAATGGAGTTGGATAAAGGAAGACACACAGTGTTAGAGAGTCTACATACACATGCACCTATGTGTACATATATGGTTATTTACATGCAAATACATATTTTGCCCCCTGCACAGATACAAATATATAAAAGAATATATGATGCTTCATAGGACAAATAGCTATTTCTGGGTAGTAGATAACACGCTTTAGTCATTTTATTTTGCATTTAATTTTATGTACTTTTCTAAATGTTGTTTCAGTTAAAAAAAAAAAGAAAAAGAAAAAAACCAATTTAGCAAATTGACAAGGTAAAGAACTATAAGTGCCTGGTCCTATTCAAAGGTACTTTAGGGCTGTCCCTTCAACTCTTAACCACTACCTACTTGGAAGAACTATGTGTCTGTCACTGATGCTTGTTTGATAATTAGGAATGCTATGACCAACTCTAAGAGCAACAGTTGGTCATAAAGGTTATAGCAGAGTTATTTGAATAGAATTGAGAAACTGGCAAAGGATTAAAAGATGTCACTTTCTAGGGGAACAAATTTGAAACTCCTTTATTGATATTCTCACTTAGGTTTCTATTGCAATGATGAAATACCATGACCAGAAGCAACGTGAGGAAGAAAGGGTTTATTTCATCTCACAGCTTATATTTCACCATCCAGAGAAATCATGACAGAAACCCAAGGCAGGAACTGATACAGAAGCCATGGAGGAACAGTGCTTACTGGCTTGCTCCTCATGGCTTATTGAGCCTACTTTATTATAGCACCCATGACCCCCAGCCCAGGGGTGAGCTTGGTCCTCCTATACCAAAAACAAAATGCCCCCAAAGATTTTCCCACAGTCTATTTAGTGGGACATTTTCTCAAATAAAGTTTCTTCTTCCCAAATGACTCTAGCTTGTGTCAATTTGACATAAACTAGCCAACATGGCAATGAAAATACAGAACATGTCAAAATAGAGTATAGTAGTAGTCACTTTTCCACAGAAATGTTTTAAATACAGCCATATTAATTTAATGTGGTCTTTATAAAAAGAAAAAAAAACAATTCTGTCTCAACTGGTATTTCTTATACATGTAGTTCTGATTACAGGGTACTTTGAATAGAAATTTAGTTAAAGATTAATTATAAGAGCAATACAGAAGGACACTAGCTTCACAGTGACTAAAGTGCAAATTAACACCACTTTAGATAATTTTCTTAGGTATATCTCTCTTCCCCTTCCTCTTCCTCTTCCTCCTTATTCTTTCTCTCTCCTTCCTTTCTTCTTTCCTTCCTCCTGTCTCCTAATTGGTTTGCCTTGGAAGCATTCAAAAAACTCTTGCAGTCTTTATGGCTCATGTAATTTATGAGTGGAAGAGTGAGTCATGCAACATTATGTCAAAAACAGTTTTGGCAGGGAACAGAGAGGAGTCAAAAGTGAATGTGACAAAAAGGCCTTAGAGGGAAGTTGCAGTTAAACTAAGTCTTGAATAGTTGTGGCCACATGGAAGTGACTGACATAAGGGTTTTTGCCAGAGAGTAAAGTAGGGGAACATACTGGAAGATCTCACTTGATAATGCCTGGCTAGGAAGGAGAAGGGCAAAAAAACATGCAGCCAGCTTCAGAAAGCACATGTCATCAGTCATCAGTCACTTAAGCCCAGAGAAAAGAGCTAGACCACATAGAGCTGTTCAGGTCACCCTATGTTTGAATTTTATGTTGGGGAATTGAGGTAGGCAAAAATGGGCTCCGCTGCACAATCTAAAGCTAGCTTGCCAACACTGGAGAGAGTAGCGAGGTACAGAATGGACTAGAAGCAAGGAAAACAGAGCCTTTTGAGAGAACTCTCTAAGGTGTTGGAATAACCAGGTTTTCCAAATGGTGCTCAGCTGACAAAAGATAGAAATACTTCTGAAAAGACTCCTTGGCCTTGGGCTGATTTCAGGTAATACCATCACTGTTTTTTACATACTCTAAATGCCTTTTGAGACAAACCTAAGTCACATTCCTTCTAAGACTGAATTATTCTGAAATCATCCTTTTTCCCTGACCTTACAGATATTGCTACATGTCACTAATATATACCAGTTTTATATAAAAATTCTATATAACAATGTGTATTTTTATATCATATGCAGATGTTTACTTTTTTAAGTAAAGATAATAAGAGAACATTCTATTTTAGCAAAATAAAGAAATACTGCATTTCTTCCTGAAGCAGTATGGTATCCTGTTTCAAAACTATGTCCTAATTTATCTGTCCCATCTTATATTGAAGGACATTAGCTTTCTTCCAATCTCTATAAACATTGACCAAATGAATATCCTTACATATTTTACTGTTCATGCATGCAAAATTATATTTCTAGTATAATCTCGAGATATAATTAATAAAAGAGATTATTTGCATTTTAATTTATGTTGATATTACCAAATTACCCTTCAGAGAGGTGACAGGTGATATTTAAAATGCATTTTAGCAAATTACATTTCACTTATTTTAGACATATGTACTATAAGCTAAATATAAGAAACCCACTTTAAAGCAAGGTAAACATGCATTATCTACATGATTACATGGTAAATCCAAGGTCTAACTTAACAGATTCAGAGCCTGTAACACATTAGCCCATATGATACTACACTATATAGTATAAAAGGGAAAACACAAGACAGAAAAATAGCAAATATCTTTTGGCTTTATTTAAGGAATTTTGTATTATATTGTTCTTATTGTATTTTATTAATTATATTGTGAGTAATTATAATATAATTATTAATGTATTATATTGCTAGTGTATTGAATAAACCAGCCTAAAGATTTTATCAGACTTAAATATGGAATGCAAAAGATGGCAAAAACATGGATAAGTGAGTATTATATATTGTATAAGTGAAATTGGATACGTGAATATTATAAGTAAAAAAAAAAATGGAGTTATTAATACCAAAAGAGCAGTTCTTAGTCCATGTGAGGAATGTTGTATTTCTTTGAAATAATTTTTGTTTGACTAAGAAAAAACAGTCATTGTGTATTTAGAAGGATTATTTCTATTATAGCTTCTTACATAGTCCCCCTGTAAAAAGCTCTTCTTGAATGCTATTTGTCCATCCTTCCTATTATTTTATGCACTGTCTTTTATTGACAAGATATATTGTAAATCTTTACTGAAAATTCAAAAATATTTTCCAAATCTGCTTAGGGCTCCTTGTGCTACTAGCTAATCTTTTCTTTCTAGGTCTCTGTACCTCAGTTGTTGTAGTAAACCACAGTTAATTACTTTTAACTGACTTTACATAGGGGGAACTAGATAATATCTTAAAACTTCATTTAACCTCATTAAATTTCTCACAAATGTACACATTCAAATGTAAAGTTAATGATATTACTTTTTATTGTTCATTATATTGATATAATTATGAATACATATGTTACTAATGTTCTTAGTAATACAGAGATACATGCTTAATTGCAATGTTTACCAAAACTACCTTTCATATGTTCTTTTAAAATTTCAGATCAGGAAATTTTGCCAGCAAGCTCTCCTTGTTATTTGCAAAATAAACAGAAGTCACATCTCTTGTGGCCACCATATGGAATAGTTATATGCATACATTTCAGTCATTTTGAAAGCATTCACAAAAGTTATTAAGCACATATTATTTTTATAAGGAAGAAGCAAAACATGGTTCACTTCTGTCCAAATTGTTAGAAGAGACAAAGGCTGCTAGGAATCCGTGGAGAGACTCTGCAAACAGTGTCCACACTACAATATTCTGCAGCAAAGTGGCAGCTGCCATGCAAGGCTCTCCAATCCCCCAATGTAATTAAGATCATTTAATATGCTACAGTAAGAGAGAAGTGTTTCTGACTCATCAATGAAAACTACTATGCAATGTCAAAGGCTCAATTATGCTTCACTATAAACAAATGGTCTTCCAGTTTCATTTGTTGTTTTAATATTTTTACCTAGGTTGCAATCTGTGAACAACAGAGAACCCAGACAAATCTAGGAGAAAGTGAAGTTTTAAGTCAGGATAGTTAAGTGGGTGTTTTATAAACAGATAAAGGAAACATGCCCACAAGTCTTGGCACAGTGTAGTGTGAAGGTAGCATAGTACCATATGCAAGAAATTAGGTGGTACAGACTGGTATAAGAACAGTACTAGCAACACATTTAAGGTACACTCCAAGGCACCCCCTATCATAAATGTCCCAAAAGAAAATTATGAGTGTTGGGATTTTTTGACATTTTTAATACGTTCTCTATTATTACCCTGTCAATAGTAGTAACATAAAGGGAAGGGAAAATGGTTAGTGTTTATGAAGATAGCTTGCTCACTGTAAATATTTACTGTTCTATAATATTCAAAATAATAATAATCAGTCACACACTCTGGGTTTTGGGGCAGAGGGCTTGATACAGTAAATTGTTGTTGGGTTAAGATTTATGATTGGATGCCAAGTTGCAGTTTATACCAATTTTGCACATCTGCTCTAAGACATTGCTGAAAGCGTTCCCTACCATATTAAAATCAGCTTCAGGTTTGTACAGGAGTGGAGGGTTTATTAAGGCATTTTTATCTTTTCCCTCTTTGACCACAGTAGTCATTTCATTGTAGCATGTACAATTAAACAGGAACAGTGCAAAAGCAATGAAGTTGATAGGACTATCATTTGAATCTGCTGAATGCTATTATTGTTTTATATTCATGCCTAACTGCTTTTGACAAAGACCTAAGGATATGTGAGGATTATACTAAGATAGAAAAGTTAATTTTGTTTTATTATGTTTTAATAATATTATTCAATATCTTCAAGTAAACTATAAGCCTCTGGGGACTGGGTCTCAGAGTTCAAAATGACCTTACTTTGGTTAGATCAAAATCTAATATTTATCTGCAGAAGACTCCAGAAATACAGGGTTTCTAGAAACCCTGTTTTCTAGAAAAGGGTATAGTAAGAAAGGATCAAAAAGAATATAGAATACATAGATGTTCTTCTCACCATAGCATTTAGGCATGTTTTCTTCTCTCCCTTTATTAAAAAGCCTTTTTTTGGACTCTTTTCTTATAAAATATATTCTGATCAGAATTTCTCTTCCTTCTACTCCTCCTAGTTCCTACCCACCTCTCCTATCCAGATCCACTCACTTTCTGCCTCTCATTAGAAAAGAAAAGGCTTATATGAGAAAAAAACATTATAAAATAAAAGATAATAAAATAAAACAAAGACCATCACATTGAAGTTGGACAAGGCAAACGAACAGAAGGAGAAAAGCCCAAGAGAAAGCACAAGAATCAGAGATAAACTCATTCACAAACTCATGAGTTCCCTAAAAATACTAAGCTGAAAGCTGTAATATATGTGGAGAGGATTTGATGTCAACCTGTGTAGGCCTTATGCATGATGTTTCCATCTCTGTGAGTTCATATGAGCTTTGTTCATGTTGCTCTCCTGGTGCCCCCCATATCCTCTGGCTCTTACACTGTTTCCACCTCCTCTTCCCTGGGGGTTCCCTGAGGTCGGAGGGGAGGAATTTGATGGAGATGTCCCATTTAATTGTGTGTTCCAAGGTGTCTTTCTTTGCATTAAGTTTCTCTGTGGGTCTCTGTATTTGTTCCCATCTGGTATTGGTGGAAACTTCTCTAAATGATGAATGAATAAGGCACCAATCCTAGGTCTCTGGTTCTTGGTCACCCATGGATATGGGTTCCATTTCATGGAGTGGGCCTGAAGTCAAATCAGACGTTGGTTGTTTACCCCCACAAGCTTTATGCAGTAGCATATTTTACAAGAATGACAGCATTGTAGATCAAAGGTTTTGTGGCTGGAATAGTGTTTATGTTTTTCTTTTGGTAGCCAGCAGAGTAACTTCCTATACCAAAGACACTAGAACATGGGAGTAAAGGAAGGTTCTACTTAGGCAGCAGCTCAATCTCAACCAGTGAGTTATGTGGATACAGTCTTCATCAATGGGGCCTTGTTTTCGCTGTGCAGAGAGCAACCTATTCTCTTGGCAATGGCTTGAGTTTGGGGATTTCCATACGGCCCCTTTGGCCAACAATTCAATTGGATTTAAACCAGTCTTGATACTGAAAGGTTTGTTTGGTGGCAAGGGATGGCCATCTGGGACTCAGGATGTTTTCTTTTTATCCAAGGAATATGTGGGGAGAAAACACAAAGTACAGAACTACAAAAAAATCACAGGAGACATAGATGATGTCTTTAGTTATTCTACTCAGTATTAAAGTCTTCCATAGTTTCAAGTTATTTCCTTTCTTCATGCTTGCTTTTTCAAGTCTCAAGGTCCTATGATTAAAAAAATATTTATAGGTAGAAATGAAAAGAAGTGACAGAAAAATTCATCGAGCCTCATGATTCAGGGTAGTACCTAAAAATACTACTCTCTCAAGATACAGAACATGTGAGGCTAGGGAGACAGTTCTGTGGATGAAGTGCTTACTGTTCAAATATGGGGATCAGTGTTTGGATCTTCAGAACCCACATATAAAGCCAAGAAGAAAATTGTGGCCTCCTGTAAACCCACCATTCAGGACACAGACAGGTAATCCCAAGAACAAGCTGTGTAGCCAAACTAGCCAGAATTGGTGAGTTCCAGGTTCAAGGAGAGATCCTGTCTCTACAAATAGAAGTCAAGGAAGGCACCTGTTATCCACCTCTGGCCTGCATGTGCACATGCATTTACATGCACATGAACACACACCAGAAAAGATGCAAAGACAGTGAATACATTTTCAAAACAGTTTTGAAAAGCTCTTGTTATCTGTCATAATTCCAGGTGTAATTTTTGAGTCACAAGTTGGAAAAAGCATTTAGTATAAGCCAAGGACAGACTTCAGGGAGTCAGTGACTATCCTGCAATGCTATGCAAATATTTGTGGCTTGGTGTAGATGTGTATTGTAGATTTCTTCTCACAGAGAAGTTTCATTAAATTCTCAAGAATGTGGGACCACAAAAATAAGGAACTGTTTCTTGAGAGTTGGGTGAGGTATAAGTTGACTGAAGATCAAAAGATCTAACTCTTTGATTTGCAAATGAACAAAAAAAATAAAAGAGGGGGAAGTGATTTTGGAGCACCTCAGGAAGTGAAGTGGTCTGGCACTCTCCCAGGAACCAGTACTGAGAAAAGGAAACTTCATGACAGCCTTGTCACCAGGGAAATGGGAAAAGGTTCTGTTGGAGTGGAGATTGATGGCTTGAAAGAGGAAAGTTGGGCCTGAAACCAAAAGAAGTTTCTAGCGTCAGTCAGCTACAAAATAAAATGACTTTCCTTTTCATATATGTTCTTCCAAGCCTCATAAATCCTCAGCCTCTTTCTCAGCACGTATCTTACAGAATACAGCCAGAAGAACAGCCCTACTTCACTCTGGACCAGCAATCCCCAGGATGCAGCTGGTCAAAAAATCCTATGGATGCTTTCCTAAGATCCACACTGGACCCCAAGATGCCCATAAGTACTGCTGCCCCAGGTTTCTCTTACAAATGCCTTCTGAATCCATACTAATACAGGATCATAGAAAACCTTGATGATACTTTTATATCTCTTTCATTAGACGTACGATGAAGTTGACTAAACTATGCTGGTTTTAATCCTGCACATACCTGATGTTAAGGTCATTGTCTTAGTTAAAGTGACTACTGCTGTGATGAAACACCAAGACTAGAAGCAGCTTAGGGAGGAAAAGATTTAATTTCCTTTATACTTCCACATTATTGTTCACTGAGGAAATTCAGGGCAGGAACTCAAGCAGGACAAGAACCTGGAGAAGACAGAAGCCATGAAGGAGTGCCATGCTACTGGCTTGAACCACCTGCTTTTTTTATAGCACCCAGAACCACCCAGCCACAGGGTATCACCATCTACAGTAATCTGGCCTCTTCCACCTCAATCACCAGTCAAAAAACATGCCCCCATAGATTTTTCCATAGGCCAGTCTAGTAAAGCGTTTTCTCATTTAAAATTTCCTCTTCCAAAATGATTGTAGCTTGTGTCAAGTTGACGTAAAATTAATCGGAAGAGCTTCCCTCCATCTCTCATTTGTTGAAATAAGTAGTGTGTCTACAAAATGTTCCTCCCATGGCAATGATTCAGATGCAGTGGGCCAACAGAAATCCCCAAGCCTACTCTTAGACAAAGCACGATGCCATTTGTGCTCAGCTTTTCAGTTAACAAGTCATATGACTAAAACCAAAGCCAATGGCAAGGCAGTAATTTCTTCCTTTTAAGAGGGAGCAACTACAAAGCAATTTTAGCTTGGATATGAGCAAGGGAGATGTAGAAGGCAAAATGCAATCAATTGACTGTGTTGATGAAGTCAGCTTTTAGTTAGTACATGCATCATCATCTGTAAGTCTCCTAATTCATGAGAACCAAGCTTAAATGACCATTGTCATTCAGGAGGGGCTAAGAAAGGGGGGTTGATCAGTGATTACTTTTGTTTCCTCCTCACAACCCTTAATAACATATCATGCACATGTTTAGTGCATAAGATGCCAGAAAACAAACAAACACCTTTGCTGTACCTATTCACATAAACCAGATTTTGCAATATAAGCATTTTCAGTGGCTTGTCCAAATGGGACACTCAAAGAGAACATATAATACAGAGTAAGCTCTCCGTATAGATAACAGACTAAACTCTGTTTCATTGGTTATCCCATATAAAAAGTGAGGAAGCTCTCCATTTTTCAGTGTTTATAGTTCAAAAACCTAAATTTCTGCAGACATTGCCTGTGATTGTACCTGTCTTGTTGGCTTTGCAGGTCTGTGTAACTCAGCTGATAGCTGGATGATTGTGCCCAACATCAAGCAGAACCACTACACTGTGCATGGCCTACAAAGTGGCACCAAGTATATCTTCATGGTCAAGGCCATCAACCAGGCAGGCAGCCGCAGCAGTGAGCCTGGGAAGTTGAAGACAAACAGTACGTGCTATGAACTCAGCTGAGCCATCATCTTAAATTTATGTGCCTCTTAGCTAATACCACTCCTTGCCTTTCTTTTACCTTTTCTGTCTTGGGCCTCACTGACAGTCCCAAAAAAGCAAGTAAAGAGCCAGTGTAAAGTACCGAGGTTCCCAGCATCTAGCTCTGTGCTCCAAAGTTGATTCTGTGTCTTCTAGGCCACGTGACCATTGACTTCTCCACACATCATTGCTCTCATTCTTTGAGAAAATAATCCTGGAGAAGTTCTTGTGAGAAATAGAACAGGTATTTATAAAGCCTGACACAGAGCAAGGCCCTGAAAAGGGAAGGGTAGATAGGATTCTTTTCCATAGCCAAAAACATTTTCATAGTTCTTTCCTCATAAATTCTTTATTCTCTTCCAAATATCCAAATATCTGTCTGGGTTTGTAATTCTCAGTTAGGGGCAATGCCTTCTTTTCTCCCATGACCCTGGCCCATGTGACATTTGATACTGCCTGGAGACATTTTCTCGATTATCAAAACTTGGGGGCAGGAAGATGCTACTGGCATCAAATGAGTGGAAGACAAGCATAGGAAACATCCATGGTGTACAAGACAGCTCCCACTACAGAGAATGATGCAGCCTGTACTTGTTCTCATAGTTCTGTCATTTTCCTCACTGTTGCTGTCTCTGTCTACATGTGTTTTGTTTTATCCTATCTTCTTTCTTTACATCTTTTTGATCTAGAAATATTATGTTATGTAACTATGGCACCATGCTGTGGAGGTTGTCAGTCAACAGAAACAATGAATGAGTTTTCAAAAGGAGCTCCCACTTCACCATATCTTTGTTTCCCAGTGCATAGTAACACGTGTTGATCTTAAGACAATAAAGGGTAGAAGAGCACTGGATTAAACATGAGAAAGCTGAGGTTCTGCCACATGGTATTATATGGCTGTAAAATTTGTTTTGTTTTGTTTTTCCTTAAACAAAACCATTTTATTTTGTGATGATTTGATTTCCAGAAGACCTATAGCCATTACAGGGAGTCCTGTGTAACATTTACTCAGCTTCCTCTAGTGTCAGCATCTTACATAACCTTGACACATTTGTCACAACTAAGAAGTTAACATCAGTGCATTCCCCTTGCCTGAGCTCAGATTTTACAATGTTACTTCTAATATTCAGTTCCTGTCTCAGGGTCTACTCTAAGAACTCACATCACTTTTGGTGGTTCTTCTCCTTTTCTCATTTTATAAAAGAAGTTTTTGGTTCTTCACTTTTAAAACTGAAGTAGTTTAGCCACATTTATAAGCTGTCAGAAAGATAAATTTGAAATAGTTCTGAGAACATAACTGTAATATTATGCCATGCTTTGTTAAAAACCACATAGTACATGGAAATGAATGTATGAATACTCTGGTCAACAGCTTTTTATTTACACTGGAGCATGCATTTGGTCTGTAGGAGTTCCTAGTAAGTTTTAGATACTATGAAATAGGCTAACAATACTGTGACAACATTCAACTCCTTCAGATGTTCTTCTCTCAAGGAATTTGTAGGTATTGGAGAAGGCACAACATTAAGCCGTAGTTATCATTGCCTTTCTGAAGTCTGTAATGGCAGTAACCCAAGAAAATGCTGGATATTCAAGAGAGCATAATCCTTCATAGCCATGAAGGCTTTTCCGGGTGAGGCGGAATATGAATAAAAGGGAGTGTTCCATGACAAGGGAACAAACAGCATTGCAAAGGCCCAAAGAAAAGATAAATTTGTGGAATAGAAAACTAACGAGCATGTTAAAAATAACACGCAAAATGAGAGGATATCTGCTTCAGGAAGCTAAATACAAAAACAATATTGTAAATCTAAGCATGCTGGCACACACCTACAATCCCAGAACTGAGGATAATGAAACAGGATTGCAAATTCCAGCCCAGCCTAGACTTTGTAGTAGGACAAAACCCAGTAAAACACACATACACACATACCAGTTTTAAGAAATAAAAACTAGCCAAGCCTATTCTCATAGGCCTATAATCCTGCCTATAGGAAGATTCCAAGTTCAAGGCCAGTTTAGTCTACAGAGTGAGTTCAACACCAGCCTGAGCAATTTAGTGAGACCCTGTCAGATATAGCTCAGTCTATAATTCAGTGATAAAGTGATTGACTATAATGTGTAAACCCACATATTGCATTCCAATCCACAGTATTTTAAAACAAAAACAAAATTTATAATCCATTATAGGTCTTGAGGCAGTGTTTGAGGGGAGATAGGTTGACAGGTAACAGGTTTATATGGTAGAGAATGGGTGAGGATTTGCAAACCATAAAGCTTTATTGCACTGTGATGTGCTGAGTGGATTAAAATAACGAAGACTGACAGCAGGAGAACATGTCCAAAATTTATTACCAGAGTTGTCCAAGCAAAAGTACAGTAGCCAGGATAAGGTCATGTACTCTACAAATGGTCTGATGACTTGTGTTCTTTAGTAACAAAAGTGTTAATTTCCTTCTCAAGCTAATTTGAATTCATTGAAGCCAAAGAATGAAAGTTGGTAAGAATAGGCAGTGGTTTGTTTGGGAAAGGAATCTGTGGCCCAGACAGAAGTGGCTCAATGAGAATACAAAGCTTGGGTCCCACTGAAACTGACTAAGCCCCTGCCGTGTGTGAGAGTGGCTGAGAGTGGGAGAGAAGGCAAGCAGGACATTGCAGGCAGTTCCTCCCCATTACAAGCCCAATCTTTCTGTACATTCTGCTATTTATCACTGGCAAGAGGCCAAACAATACTCAAGCTGATAAATGGTGAGTGCCAAGATGGAACTTTTTCCTCTCTTCCAATCACTGTCAAATTATTTGTTACTCATTTTTGTCTTTCACTTTTAAAGAATTAGAATATTTTAAGAAAAAGCATGTCTTATCCCTAAGAGTAGCTGGCGTGAATGTCCCCAGAGAGTTTTTTTTTTTTTTTTTTTACAAAACAAGTTAAATTTAAACTTTAAATTTTAATTGGGATCTTCACCAACCCTATATCTGACAGAGAGCTAATATCGAGAATATATAAAGAACTCAAAAAGTTAAACAGCAACAAATCAAGTAATCCAATTAAAAAAAATGGGATACAGAGCTAAACAGAGAATTCTCAATAAAGGAATATTACATGGCAGAGAAACACTTAAAGAAATGCTCAATGTCCTTACTTATCCAGGAAATGCAAATCAAAACAACCCTGAAATTTCACTTTACACCCATCAGAATGGCTAAGATCAAAAACTCAAGTGACAACACATGCTGGAGAGGATATGGAGAAAGGGGAACCCCCTCCTCCACTGCTGGTGGGAATGTAAACTTGTACAAACTCGTTGGAAATCAATCTGGTGCTTTCTCAGACAATTAGGAATAGTGCTACCTCAAGACCCAGCTATACCACTCCTAGACATATATCCAAAACATGCTCAAGTATACAACAAGGACATTTGTTTATTTATTTTTAGTGTGCAGTCATCATTTTTATATCTATGTATAAGCTCCAAACATTAGAAGTTTAAGTTTATCGTAACACCAAAATGATACATTTAGAAATAGATTTAAAATTTTATAAGACATCCAGTTTAAACATCCATAAAACACTGAAGGTTTAAATAAAATACAAACATAGCAAAAAATGTTTTGAGAATTTCAGATATGAATACTGTATTTACATCAGTTTTCAGCTTCCTCTTCTCCTTTCAATGTCTTCCGTATCCCTCCCACTCCTTTTCAAGTTCGTAGCCTCAGTTCTTTAATTATAAGTCTTACACACACATACACACATTTATATATACCACATGCTAGGGTCATTTAATGTTACTCACATGTGTTTAAGGCTGACCTCTTTGGACTGGCTAACCTATCAGAGGGCTTGCCCCTGCAGAAGACAGATTCTCGCTTTCTCAGCAGCCAACAGTTTTTTGCCTGTGGCTTCTCTTCTGAGGGGTGAAGCCTTGTAAGAATTGTCCAATTCACATTGGCATATCAACTGGCTTTCCTCTGATATCAACAGATATATAAAACAAGGATCAGCAAACAGTAGTTTAAGTACCAAATCTGACTACTTACATTTATAAATAAAGTTATACTTACATATAAATGATGAATAGTCCTTTATTAATTTGTGACTATTTCTTCACTACAATGACAGAGTCACAAAAGAAACCATATGGCTTACATAACTCAAAACATTTATTTTTCTTATCCTTTGCAGAAAAAATGTGCTGATCACTGACCAAAGGCAAAAAAAAACCGTGAGGTTCCGGTGCTATGTTTAGATTCAAGCAGCGCCACCCATATTTGAGTGTTACACATAGTGTACACACAGTGTTCCATGATGTCTTCAGCCCAAACATGCATTGTTTTCAGCCATGTTTACCAGGCTTTTTCCTTATGATTCCCTGGGAGCTGCATACTGGGCGGAAGGCATCTCCCAACTGTCTATGAAGTTGAACAGTGTTGTATTACTACCAAATGGTAATATGTTTCCTGCTTTTAAATGTCTTGTACCCTATGTGGTGTCAAGTGACAGGCAGTACTCAGAACCAATACTGAGTTGGCAAATAAGTAACAGCTACATCAAAATGACCATAGATGACTCTGACAGTATTTTTAATGGTGAGCCTTTCAAAACACAAATGTGAATAATGAAAGAAAACTTTGTTCATTATGTGTATTAATAAATCCAGATACAGAAATCTTAGGCATTACTGTCATCTTTCCCTGTTTTTGTTACCTGAACAAATTTTTAAATGTACAGTTACTCTACATGTCTAAAGAGTTGTGTTTTTACTTTTCTCAAATCAGAATGATATATTTAAGTGTTCAGAATATTCTACACTATGATGTGAAATTTTCATTTGTTTGTTCTTTGCACCAGACTCTATTTAGTCTGGCGGGGGGTGGAATTTAGGCTTGATTAAGTATAGCAGTCCTTAAAAATAAGGTCTTTATTTTCTCTTCTTTTCCAGGATGTTTTTCAGCCAGAATGTACCTGTGCTGGAATCTCCCATGTGTTTTGGTTGATCGTTGCTCAGTTTCTATTGAATAGTCAGACCCCTGTCTAACTAGAAACTCAAGGAAGAATAGCTATGCCTTTATTCAGCACCGCTGTTTTTAGCACTATACACAGAATTGTGTCTGCTTAATTATATCTTGAACATCATAAAAACTGTAAATAAGTAAATGCTTTTAATAGTGGTTTGTAATTTTAAATTGATATTAAAATATAAGATACTATTTTGTGGTAGGTAGTATAATTCAGGAAATAATGGCTTGTTTTAGAATTTTTCCTCCTATTTATATTTGATGTGTATAGGTATTTTACATACATGTATCTCTTTGTACTATGTACATGTCTGATGACCAAAGAAGTCAGAAAAGGGAAGCAAGTCCACTGGATCTGAAGTTATAGATAGTTATAAATTGTCATGTGGGTGCTGGGGTTCAAACTCAGATTCCCTGGATCAGCAGTCAATGCCTTTAACTATGAAGCTATCTCTTCAGCCCTTGTTTCAGACTTTTATATCTGACTATGAAGATAGATTATTAGTTATGTTCTAATAAACAGTACTTTTTACTTCTCTTTTATTTGTGAACTTGTTTCTAGGTCAGCCATTTAAACTGGATCCCAAATCTGCTCATCGAAAACTGAAGGTGTCCCATGATAACCTTACTGTAGAACGTGATGAGTCATCATCCAAAAAGAGTCACACACCGGAACGCTTCACTAGCCAAGGAAGCTATGGAGTAGCTGGAAATGTGTTCATTGATAGTGGCCGGCATTACTGGGAAGTGGTCATAAGCGGAAGCACATGGTAGGCAGCTTATGTATATTTTCTTACAACTGTAAAAAGGTACATGCTATTCTGTACCTTCTCAAGGATATGAATTTATAACCAGAATCTGTTCTGAAGAATCAGACCTAACCCGACAATAATGCTACTTAACACCAAAATCAGTGTGACTTCAACAGCAACCATTTATTAATGCTAGGAAGCACATATTTATTGGTTAGATGAGAAGGATTAATCTCAACTGGTTTTATATTTTAAGGTATAGTTTGGGTCTAGGTCTGTCCTATGTCTATGTTCCCAACACTACAGAAATGTAACATGTTAGTGCAGGCCTGTAATCCCAAGCAAAGACAGGATGAGATGGAGTTCAAGGTCATCCTCAGGTAAATAGCCAGTTCAAGGCCAAAAAATGTAGGTAATGTCATTCTCATTTTACAGATGAGGTGACTAAGGTATGGTCCCAAAGTCATAAAATTCATAGTCAGTAGTTACAAATTCTGTGGTCAGGGGTCTAACTTTTAGGTAGGAGCCCACAAATAAAAGACAAGAGAGTTAATGTCTTGACTTTACAGGCCAGGAAAATTTTGTCCCAGGCTCAATCCAAGGCTGTTATAATAGGAAAACAGCCACAGACAATGCATATAAAAATGGGTATGGCTGAATGCCAATAGAACCTCATTTGTAAAAACAGGCAAGGGAACAGAGTTGACCCCAGTATTGTAGTTTGTTAATCTCTGCTTTTTTTCCAATTCTTTTATTCTTTTTTTTAATTTTTAATTATACTTTATTTACTTTGTATCCCCCCTCTAGTTCCCTCCATCCTCCCCTCCCAATCCCTCCCTTCCTCCCCTTTCTCTACACACTCCCCTCCCCAAGTCCACTGGTAGGGGAGAGTTTCTTTTTCTTCCTTCTGTTCCTAGTCTGTTAGGTCTCATCAGGAGTGGCTGCATTGACTTCTTCTGTGGCCTGGCAAGGCTGCTCCCCCCTCCAAGGGGAGGTGATCAAAGTAATCTCTGCTTTTAACTGCCATAGTATGTCATTACTCATAGAAGGGTGATACAGTTTTGAAATATTTTAATTATTAGAGAATGAAGTAGTAAATTTAATGAGGGATAGCTGACCTGAAAGTCAGAAGAAAAATTATGGAAAAGGATTCAAGCAGGAGAGGGAGGAAGATGAAAGAGGTGAAAATTTTTATGGTAAAATTCTACCATAAAAATCATTTTAAGTTGAACCTCTGCAAATAATGTAATGTGTACAAAGTGCATATAGCTGCATACAAATCAACCCAAATCTAAGACATGAGCTTGCACTAGTGGCTATCCCCACTCTCTTAATAATGGCATCTGCATTTGCCTAGCAGATAGTTTTTCATGTTTTATAATCCTCTGCATTTTCTTTGCCTAGACCATTTTCATGTTTTGTTAAAACATGAAGATTGACAAGTCCTACTTCTTGCATGGCTAGGGAATTCACTGCCATGTAAAATTTGCATATGTGCCTTTGTGTGTGTATACATATAGAGGCCAGCTGATTTCTACATTGCTCTCCACCTTATGTTTTGAGACAAGGTCTCTCACTGAACCTGAAGTTTAAAGATTCAGCTAGATTGGCCACAAGGAATAATCTTTTGGTCTCTAGTTCCCTGGTGCTGGGATTATAGGCATATAACCCCAAACCTAGTTTTCTTCTCTTTCTCTCTTTTTAAAAATTTAGTCAAGGGGGGGCTGGTGAGATGGCTTGGTTGTTAGGAACTGGATGCCCTTCCAGAGGGTCAGGGTTTGTTTCCCAGTACCACAAGGTAGCTCACAGCTGTCTGTTGTTCCAGTTCCAGGGGATTTGATTCTCTCACACAGATGTACATGCATGTTGGCAGAACACCAATGCACATAAAATAAGAATAAATAAATCCTTTTTAAAAAAATAGTTTCTTATATGGAATCTGGATGGTCAAATTTAAATTCTCCGAACCAACTGAACCATTTCTGCAGGCTGGCACCTGAAACTTTTAGCTGTGTTGAAGCAAGATGAAAGCACAAACGGAAATAGAGCTCATGTGTAGAAAAGCAAATGTTCCTAGATAATTGATGTACTGTATTAATCTGACATTCCAGAATCTAGTGTCTAAATGATTATAACCCCATTAATAATTATTTGTGATAAATGACACCTAGTCATTATGACCTCATTGCCATTAATGAATAGCGTGGAAAATTTCATCAGACCACTTTAGTTACATAAACACAGATCAGCATTACCTTTAAAACACTCTCCAGATGTCCAAACTAACTCATGTGTAGGAAATAAAAAACTTATAATTAATTTATAGTTAATTAAAAGACACATTGAATCTTTACATACTAACTCAACTGTGTCAAAAAATCATGTAAGAAGTAGTTTCACATTTCCTAGAAGATAACAGCAAGGAAGGATAGCCTCCTCCTAAAATTAAATGCCTGTAATATCTTGACTTAGAACAGTTAGTGTCAAATATTTTTTGTTCATGAAATAGGTGCTTGATTTTAAATTGACCTGTGCATTATGATCCACATAATGGACATGTTAAGGTTGCTCTGAGAAACACAGTTTTTGTACTTTTTAATTTCTCCATGTCTCACTGTGTAACTTAATGGAACATTAAATTCTGCCCGCACCTTTCAAGCTCAATGGCTATATATGCATATTTTCACAGATTAATGATAATGGTATTTTCTTGTGCTTAATGGACTGTACACTTTGTTATTCTCTTACTCTCAAATGCTGTTAACATGTACTTGGTGTTAATGAAATGGTGTTAACTAAGGCATGCCAGCACTACTACCAATAGGAGTCAAGAGAGCAATATGAGATTTGTAGAGTTTTCTAATCTTCACTTTCTGCTTTTCTGAATGAAGTCAACCCTGCCTACTTCAGCTATTTCAAAGGATTCAACAGACGTTCAAATGAGAAATAAACATTTAAGTTCTTTAATTTAAAAATTAGTATGTGGCATCAAGAAGGAAACAATATAAGCATTGTTATTTGAAGATGCAAATTGTGGTTCCACGTTATCTGAAAAAATAAAAATAGTCTCCACTAACCTGTGTAATATATCTTCACAGGATGTAATGCAAAATGTAAATCATGGAGCTAGGAAGATGGTTTAGTTGGTAAAGTGCCTGCCACGCAAAAATAAGGATCTGAGTTAGAATCCCCAGTATCTGTGTAAAACTAGGCATTGGTTCTACATGCCTGTAACCCTAGTATGAAGGTGGGAGAAAAGAGATAGGAAGATTCCCCAGAGCTCACTGGCTAAACAGTTAGGTGAGGATTTAGTGAAAGAGCCTTTCTCAAATAAGATAGAAAGCAATACCCGATGTTAAACTCTGGCTTACACATGTGCATGAGAGCTCTTGCTCCCTCTCTTTCTGTCTGTCTTTCTGTCTCTCTGCCTGCCTCGCTGTCTCTGTCTCAATTCCTTTCTCTCTTACACACACACATAGAGATACACACACAGGGGAAGAGCAGGACAAATATTCTAAAAATATGTTGGTTAGCTCTTGGCAAAAAGAATAGAAGTCAGTCAAGGACCTCCAGAGATAAAGGGAATGAGAAGCTTATGGACAGGGCTGGAAATACAGGGCAGGGGTCTATCACTCCAATATATGAAGTCATAATGACAATGACCTAGTGTCCACTGTTGACATAGGTATATCCTGGTGTCCTCTAAATCTCATCAAACCTCATATCCACTGCCTGCCATTGGGAAACAATGTCCCCAATCCTCTTCCAACTTCAGGATCCAGGCAAGGATATTATACACCATAATCATACAACCTAATCCAGTCTCAAATGAAAAAGGGGTTTCTGGTTACTGCAACCCAGAACTCTGAGCAGGAGACTGACAAGAAAGGAGAGAAGATGCTGCATTGATTAATAGAGAGGCTGGAACACTGATTTAATGGATTACCCATTACATCGTTTTTAGTTGTAGCATATATTTTTTTAAGACACCTCTCTTAAAACGACTGTAATTTTTTTTAAGTTATTGTTAAAAAGACCAGTGAAGTTTTTCTCTCTTCTTAAGGTAAAATAATATATGTCAATATCCAAAAACAATTAGAAATTAATTACAACCAGATACTGGTACCTGGTTTCTGCTATAACATATTAAAAGTTGAACTCAGGGTTTGTTTGTTTGCTTTGAGTAGTAAGAAAGAATATTTATAATAATTCAGTAATTGCCTACTCAGTGAGTTTTAAAATGTTTTTATTTATGAATTCGTTTATAATTTCATACAATGTATTTCACACTTAGACCCCTTTCCTCAATTCCTTCCCATACCACCTCATCAACCCTCCCATTCCTTCCCACCCAACCTTAAGATTAATTTTTTTTGTTTTCTTCTTTCCATATTGAATCCATAAGATTTATATATAGGATTTTTTGTATCTGTTTGCTTGCTTGTTTGTTGTGTTTTTGCTTTGTGTGGTATGTGTGTATGTGTCTGTCTGTCACTGTGTCTGACTATCCGTCCATGTGTCTGGCTGTTTGTGTGTCTGTCTGTCCATCTGTCAATGTGTCTATGTGCTATCTATCTGTCTGTGTCTGTGTGCCTCTCTGTCCATCCATGTGTCTGTCTGTCTGTCTGTCAAAGAAAAGGGTGTTGGATCTCCTAGAGCTAGAGTTGCAAGTGGTTGTGAGCCAACCAATATAGGTGCTGGGAACCAGACTTATGTCCTTGGAAGAACAGTATGTGTCATTTCTTCAGCCATCTTGAAAATATTTTTAAAACTTTAAAATGTAGAAGGAAACCTCAGAAAATGGAAAAAATAGGGAACTGGACAGGAGCCTACCACAGAGGGCCTCTGAAAGACTCTACCCAGAAAGGTATCAGAACCTATGCTGAGAGTCATAGACTAACTTTGGGCAGAGTGCAGGAAATTTTATGAAAGAAGAGGGAGATAGAAAAACATAAAGGGGACTGGAGCTCCACAAGGAGAACAACAGAACCAAAATGTCTGGGCCCAGGGATCTGTTCTGAGACTGATATTCCAACCAAAGACCATTCTCAACCTAGAACCCCTGCACAGATGTAGCCCATGGCAGCTCAGTCTTCAAGTGGGTTTCCTAGTAAGGGGAATAGGAGCTGTCTCTGGCATGAACTCAGTGGCTGTCTCTTTGATCACCTCCCCCTGAGGGGTTGGCAGCTTTACCAGGCCACAGAGGAAGACAGTGCAGACAGTCCTGATGAGACCTGATAGACTAGGGTCAGATGGAAGGGGAAGAGGACCTCCCCTATCAGTGGACTGGGAAAGGGGGATGCGAGGAGAAGAGGGAGGGAAGGTGGGTTAGGATTGGTTGGAGGTGGGCTACAGCTGGAGTACAAAGTGAATAAATTTTAATAAATAAAAAGTTTTTAAAAATGTAGAAGAGAGGCTAGAGAGATGGCTCAGTAGTTAAGAACACTGTCTGCTTTTCCAAAGGAACAGGGTTCAGTTCCCAGCACCCACATGGGAGCTCACAACTGTCTCTAACGTAAATTCCAAGGGATCTGTCACCGTCACACTAATGAACATATAATAAAATTAAACAAGAATTTTTAAAAAAATGTAGTAGGAAATATAATCAGAAAGGCAGTAATGAATTGCACAGTTTTTGGAGAGAGTAATATAGTATAAAGTGTCAGTTAAACATATGGCCTTCTGAGTCATCCTAAGTTTGAATTCTGATTTTCATACTTACTATTACTGTGTCATTAGATAGTAATGATAAAATAATAGTTACTGAGCATTACATTCCAGCCATTGTGATTGTGATTTAAAATCCATTTTTCTTTTTCTCTTTAACTCAAGGACACAGAGATTATAACTGTTCCTGTGCTATAGATGAGATATTGAGATTGAATGATGACAAAGGACTTAACCTCTTAAATGGAAAGCATTCTCCCTGCTTGCCTTTGCCAAAGTACATTCAAAGGCATGGACAAATAACAGCTATGATAGCAAAGCCATGATAGCAACTGCAAAGTTTAAAGTCTATTCTGTTGGATAAATATACCTATATAGACTTATGCTTTCCAGTATGGCAGCCTTGCTCCACATATGTAGCTCTTTAAATAAACTTAATTAAAATTAAAATTAAAATTCATTACAAACAAGGCTAGTGGCTCAAGTCCTACCACTTAGAAGGTTGAAAACAGAAAGAGTGTGATAGCTTGAGACCATTCTAGGACACAATGTGACACTGTATTTCAAATAAATAGAGAAATGATAGGTAGATAGGCAGGTGATAGGTAGATAGGCATGTATGTATGTATACATACATGCATACATACTTAGAGGTGCTTTCATACTTATGCTGAGGTTATATGCCGATAGTCCCAAGATAAAATGAAAATGTTAAAATTGAAAAAATAAATATATTTTATTTATTTTTCTTCTTAACATCATTGCTCAGCCTGGCCTGCCTTACATGTTTTCAGATTACTTACATGAGCCTGCAGTCAGGCTAATTCCTTTAGCACAAAACCCTACTTTTCATAAAGTCTTAATTATTTATACCCTTTATTGTCTTTAGTACCCTGCAGTATATGGTATCAGTTGTTTCCCCTCATAAGGCCCAAAGTCATACAAAAGGATGCCATTGTGTATCACAAGCTCACGAGAAGATCAAAACTCAGAGGATGATTTTGCTGATGTTACTTTACTTTTATAAAGTTTTTATAAAACTCTTAAGTCCAGGCATCCTGAATCATGAATTATCAGTAAATTTAAAGCTGATTTCATAGGCTCACCAGCCACAGTTCCAATGCCTAATAGCCATATGGGGCTTCTGATTTTCATACTGAACAGAGCAACATGCTTCAATTATTACAGAAGGATCATGGTTGATCAGCACTAGTCCAGAGAATTTAATGTGCAACCATTCAGAAAAGAAAAACAGAGCAGTAAAATGGAAAGTCAAGATTGTCTAGTAACATTTAAGCTGAAAAAAAGGAAGGTAGGCCAACACACTGGTCACCTTCTGCCTCTATGTGTTTGGGAAGGACAAAGATGTATATTTAGATTTAATTACTCACTTAAAGGGTGTGACCACAGACAACAAAAGATGACATTGTAAAATCCCCTATTGACCACAGAACAAATTTTACTCACATGCAATGTGGCTTATTATTTTTATGACTGTTCTTTTGTTTCTGCAGGTATGCCATTGGCCTTGCATACAAATCGGCACCAAAACATGAATGGATCGGGAAGAATTCTGCTTCCTGGGCCCTCTGCCGCTGCAACAATAACTGGGTGGTGAGGCATAACAGCAAGGAAATCCCAATCGAGCCAGCCCCCCACCTCCGGCGTGTAGGCATCCTGCTGGACTATGATAATGGCTCCATCGCTTTTTATGATGCTTTGAACTCCATCCACCTCTACACCTTCGATGTGGCGCTTACACAGCCTGTATGCCCCACTTTTACTGTGTGGAACAAGTGTTTGACGATTATAACCGGTCTTCCCATCCCAGACCATTTGGACTGTGCAGAACAGCTACCTTGAACATCCAGTTCCACAGCAGCACTGAAGAATAACAAAGATTGAGGCCATTGTATAGGGGGTTGAGAAAACTAAGGCTTCAAGAGTGTGATGAACTATCCTCCAAGTCATCCAGAAACAAACCCAGATAGGGCTCCAAATAGGAGATTTCCTTCCTTTTACTGTGTTTTTATTAAGTACTGGCTTTAATAATTTCTTTATATTTTTTTTTGTATTTAGAGGAAAATCTACAGATTATTTATAAAAGAAGCATAGTCTGAATTACAGCTCTTAGGGATCACTTGACTTTGCCCATTAAGAGGCCCATAAGTTTACCAGCTTTTTACCAGTTTCATTTCATCAATCTATGGCCTTGCTTTCTCCATTTGCATATTTGTGTGTTTATTCACTTTCTTACATTCTATTCTATACTAGGCCATGTTAGGTCCTGTTACCTAGAATAACCGAATATGCAGCTAAAGTAAAAGTCACTTTGAACCTAGTAACGAAGTAAACAGGCTTCCTTATTTTGGTTTAAGTTGAGATATTTTAACTGTGATGTCAGAAACTTGTATTGGATCAAACAGAATGGGAAACAAGGGAGACAGAAAGAACTCACTTTGGGCCTCAAGTTTATCCATGACTTGTGGGATGATTTGGGGAAGATAAAAGGATTCTTAAACCTTTAGTCTATATTTTCCCAGTTCTCAAAGGCTGAAACTTTTGGGCTAATATCATGAATGATATTACAACTGAATATTGTCATTTTGAATTCTACAGATGATTTAAGAATTCATGTTGATTTGAGTTTTATCAAAAGTAGAATTCTGTTTTAGGGTATAAAACAGTTACACCTTTCCTCTTACCAGTTATTTTAGGCCAGTAAAAATTTTTCACTACATTTAATAGGTACCCTATTTTACCCTTCCACAGATCTTTTTTTTTCTCTCTCTGGGTCTACAGAAATTAAAATGGCTTGTCAACAAACAGCAATCCAACTTTCAACTGATTTTGTTCTCTGGAACACCAGCATACGGCCTTGAACACTACCATGTCCAAATATAAGTCATCAAAAACACTGTTTATGAGTAATGATAAGACACATAGCACAAGTACTACTTACTAGCACACATGCCCCTAAAGTTACAGTCTTTTAGTAAGCACATTTTGAAAGATGTAGACCTCCTTGTATATTCTAGTATAGTTTATCATAGAGTTGTAAGAAAAAAAAATTTAAATTTATTGTTCCTACAGAGGAATCTGCTAATAGAACCTACTAATCAAATTTCACATAGAATTTTTTTCATGCTGACCTGATATATTGTAATGGTCTCTGAATTAAGACTTTCTTAGGTGAGCTTTGGCACAGGGCATTGGCATGGGTTCATCTTGACAAAGGAAATGACTTGTATAAATATTTGCTAAAATATTTATCTGGGCCCCCATGTCAGTCATACAGCCATTGACTGAAAATACTGCTAGATTGAGGCATTGGTTTTAGTGATTTTGTTTCTAATCAAATCAGCCATTTGCAGAAATAATTCAATACACTCTCCTTTTAACCATGACATGGTCACAATTGATGTGCAAGCCAATCTGGACTTTGTAGAAGACAAAGCCAGTTTCCTATGTCTTTCTGTCCCTTCCCTGGCAGATGCTGTCCTTTTTCTTAATGGATAGATTTTATATATTTACTATATTATTTATACCCAGATGACTATTTTAATAGCAACCTAAGACAGTTTCACTTCTTAAAATTGGACACCTCAGTGGAAAAACTTTCATCTTTCTCTAGCAACTTATTAGGACTTTTTGACAGTATAAAAATGTGTGTTTGCCTTCCCTGAATAAACCGGAAAGGTTGTCTCAGTCATTTTTATGTAAATTTCGGGTAACTGGATAATAGATATTTTAATGCTCTTTGTACACTTACATGTTCTAAGTAAAAGGGTCTAAAAGTCAAATTCTGAGTTTTTAAAAACTCATGGTATCCAGGTAACAATAAATGCTACAGTTTGCCTTATGATGCTAACATAAAGCATTTACGAGCAGGACACTATTTCCATGAATATGTTTTTCAGTATAAAGATGTTACTACTTAGATTTTCACTGCAAGCTGTTGAGGGTGTGTTTTTGGCTATTTTTGTAAGGACAAGACAGATTACGTTATAATTTTGTTTGCAAGTCTTACTCTTAGCTAACTTAAAAACATTGTGGATTTACCAGTTACTATTTCCAAGTTTTCATATTTACAGAAAATATGTATGTGATGAAAGACCACAGTGTTTAATTGCTGTAATGACGTAGAAGAGATTTCCATGTCGATTTTTTTAACTCTAAAAATACATGATGTAGATTGCTGCAGTATAACTCTGCATTTCCTTTAAATGGACTGGGGACACTCACAGGAAGCATTTCCGTAGAGGGGTAAAAAGAGATGGCAGAGTGCCAATTAAATTAGTACAACAGAACTGATGAGATGCCAACAAAGGCTGTAAAGGCTTAGTTAGCATCATGTGTATGTGAATGACTCAGCTGCCAAGAACCCTGAACGCAGAAAGGTATCATGCTTCACTTTTCACTGTCACAAAATTCTTAGTGCTTTTTGAACATGACGCCATCATTTTCACTTTGCCCTGGGATTTGTACAATATGCATACTCGCATATTATGTACCTAGTCCTTGGAACAGGACTCCAAACATGGTACTGCTCTTCCTAATGGATAAAGAGAAACACAGATCTAATGTTGAACGTTGCTTGTTGAAACTTGCTTTAGATTCATATTATTCAAGTATGAATCTAAATGATGGATAAGATGAGGGTGGATGTAGGGTGAAGATTTCCTCTCCAACTTTTGAAGAAAGTGACTTCAGAAAGTGACTGCATCGATAATGGTTTTGGTGGGGGGTGGAAAGGAAATTGAACATGGACAGACTCTATTATGGTACTGATATATGGAACTTGAACTTCCTAAGGGATGAGCCAGTGTTCTCCACTCAAGATGGATTTCTATCTCAGCTTGAGAAGCACATACAAATGTCTGAAGAGTCATGTGCCTGTCTGTTCAGTTCATCTGGTGTTGGAGAGCTGACATCTGGTCTCTCTTGGTAAAACATCAATGGCATGCAGAAACAATGACACTAGCAAGAGAAATGTTTTGAAAATCGTGCTTCTCGTCCAGGTCTTGATTTTATTACCAAGGAAGACATTTGGCCATATCTGGAGTCAATTTTGGTAGTCACAACTTGGAGACATGTTGCTTCTGGCATCTGGTGCGTACAAGTCAGAGATGGCATTAAACATCGTACAGTGCACAGCGAAACTCCTCACCAAAAATTTTGTCTGACTCAAGATGTCAGCTATGTCCTAGTTTAGCCACGCTTGAATGATTGCATTTCTTCTGGAACACAAAAAAAAAAAAAAAAAAAAAAAAAAAAAGATGCAGCCATCTATACTTTCACAGGAGTGGCACCGTCATTCTCAAAATTATTCACAAAATACTTGCAGAAAATCTGAATTCTAAAGCAACCCAAGACTGTGTGAATACAAATTATTGAAAGAAGTGTTGTAATCCTATGATCTTGGTGTAGAAATGAGGTTTTCTGTATGTCTCCTTGTACCAGCACAAATTCAATCCTGGTACCTGAGTCAACTGCCACACCCCTCAATCCAGAATCTCTTCTTGATTTCTGTTGCTTCCTTGTTCAAAATAAAATCCTTTGTGGCAACTTTTGCCTGGCTTTGTTGCCTTTTGCCATTTTACCTTCTCACATTCATGATCTGGACAAATGCATATTTAACTTCTACTTGTTGAGCCCACAGTTTTGTGGTAGGTAATTTATTTTTGACACCTAAAACTGTCATATCCATTATCCACCCTTCTCCATTCAAAATATAGTTACTTTACAGGACTGAAAATACTTCATGGGAAAATTTAAAACTCAATAAAAACAAACTCCTTAAGGATTGAAAGCCCAGAGCAAATATTGCTTGAGGTCAAATCTCACAGGGGTGATAGAGAAGAAAAAAGTAACTGTCAGCAGAGAAACAGTGGCCTTGATAGTATGCTCTGCAGACAAAAAGTATCTTTAAGAAGATAGTTGCTTGTGATAACAATAGAAATACAAAAGGGGGACATATAGATTTGTAAATTTCCTTTTACTTGAGTATCAGCCTTCTCATGAAATACATGTTACTATTTACATAAAAATGCCATGCACATAACCAATCTTAAATCTAATGAGGTTTATTGGATGGAGATGAAGACAGAGAGAGATGGGGAGGGGAGCCCTGACAGAGAGGGGGAAGAGAAAAACAAGGTAAGAGCAAGAGAGCAAGAGGAGGGGGAAGTAGCTGACAGATCACTATGTACCTGGCCCAGATGATGTCATAGGACATTGTCAGGACCCTGGAGGTCCCTAAGGTAAGGCCAGTTGCTTTGCCTCCACAACATACCATTCCTCCCTTTTTGTTTAATTAAAAAAAAATGAAGAGCTTGGGCTCCTCATGTAAGGCAAGTTAAAGGGTAAAAATGTAGGTATACTGGAAGCAGCTCTTGGTCACCATGCAAGGCGATAAGAGAGAGAGAGAAAAAAAAAGAGCTCAAAAATGTCTAGATTACATGGTGAGGAGGAGAGGAAGTCACCACCCTTAAAAGGTTGGGGGAGAGGGTGGAGTTGCCAGCCATGCCCAGCAGCAGATAGGGACTGAGGAATGCTGAAAAAACCTGGAGCTCTTGATTCTGGGCCTGAAGTATACCATTTCAGCCTTTTGTTGAGAATAAGTGGATCACGGGCAAAGAAATCAATCATCTTTAGCTACTTCCTGCTGACACTAGGCCAGTGATAGGGAGGTCAAATGGCTGAAATGATGGTCAAGCCCAGGAAGATTAGGCTATTTTAATGCTGTGCAGGGTCTGTGAGAACATCTATAGTTGGGAGTGAAAGTGCAGGTCCAGCTTGACAGAATTCTGTGAGGTTGGACTGGAACACTTGTGATAGTTACTTTGGTGCTGTCATGGATGGAGGAAACACCTGAGTCTGGCAGGATACTGGAACACATATATAGGCAGAGTTAAGTAGGTTATGGAAAAAAATTTCTTTAGGTGTGTATTTTTTAGGTATATATTTGAAACTTTTGGGGCTAGCAAACAGAGATTGAAGAGGAGACTTGAACATAGGAACCTCCATTTACTCGAGGGAATCTCCATTTACCAGATCACTGACAGTAATTTAAAATGTTTTGCTTTTGATCTGTTATCTAAGGAAATTGAAGCCAAGTTTTGTTGCAGAAATATGTAAGTGCAGAGGCCTTTAAAGTAGGCACTAGGTGTACGAATCTAAAATTATTTAGAAGGCATCACAGAGGAGAGCCTGGGGGTATGGTGGAAGACATGGTGGATTTCCATGGGTGAAGAGATAAAAGTCAGTCCTGCCAGTTTTGGGGGAGCGTCCCCACAAAGTACAGGAGAGCCAGAGGTACAGGGACACAGCTGGCAAAGCAGGTCGTCACGAGCAGTGCCAGGGGCCACAGGGAAGACTCCCGGAAGACACAGCTCACCTAGTGCTAGGATTTTTCGAGGGCATGTCCAATGCGAATGAGGAAAGGAAAAGCTGAGAAACAATGTCAGCAAAAAGAAAAAGATTATCTACCCAAGGGAAGGCATCTGTGTGACAGTTGGTGAGAACGGAGTGTACCTCCATTCCCCAGTGAGAAAGAGATACCAGTCAGTCTCTCAGACAAAGGAGAACATTTAAGCCTACCGTGGAAGGGAACTCCTCAATCTGCTGGTATTGGATGTATGGATGCAGCAATTGGGTACCTAGGAAAGAGGAGTTCCAACACCAAAGAAAGTGGGGGAGGGATCCTACCTTTTGAGATAGACAATAGGGGCAGTATTTATATTGAGCCCAATTGACCTGAGAGGTAGATTCCGGTGGATTTTCTGCAGCTTACAAGAATCCCTTTTAAGTTTTACAAAGGAGATGAAACTTTAGACATGTTAACATCGCCACTGTAATTTGCATTGAAATAATATATTACAATATATTATTATAAAAAGGCAGTAGATATACGCATTTGTGCTAATAGCATAAACACTCTGTAAGGTGAGCTCTGAAAAGGTAGAAGCCTTTTGTGAAGTAGAAGGGGCAAAAGCTCACTTGGCCTCAACTTTTTGTATGATTATACATTATACATCATGGAAAAGAGGCTTAACCAATTTTTATGTTTGTATTAACCAACCTTAAAACACTTTCTTAGACCCTCAAACAACATTTTCTTAGGGCTTTGTATCTAGTTATTTACCATGAGACATAGGTGAGACTGCTATGAACATTTACTGTCCTTTAGCTAAAGGGATGGTAAAAGGTTACATCTGAGGCCTGTTTCTTCAGTCTGGAAACAAGGCATATTGTGTCTAGGCCTGACAACAGCAACTCTAGGACTCAGGCTTAAGGTCTGGTCTCCTGCATATGAAGAGAACTGAGAAAGCATCTGAAGTTTCCCAACATAGAAGTTGGTAATATGTACAGGGGGCCCGAGTGTGAGGCCAAAACAGACCTGCAACATTATCTGGGCTTGGCAAGGCTGATAGAGTTCACTGAACCAAGGAGCCATTTGTCCTACACCAGGCAAAGGAGCTGGAAGGCTGGAAGTGTCTGTGGTTCTTGTGCTGGTTGAGTCTCCATGGCTAGGCACAGAGAACAAACCTGCATGGGAGCATTTTGACTTTCAGAGGCCAGTCTGCCAGCAGGCAACCACAGCTTGTGGGACCAGTGTCACCTTTGGCTGCATTTGAAACTATCAACTTCCAGAATTGACTTTTGGCTATGCCCCAGTGGCATGGGGCATTGCAGACCTCTTGTTTTCTGTGCGGGAATGCCAAAAGCCTCAGAGCAGCAGTCAAGGTCTGGAACATAGTTTTTTGATCCTATCGGAAAGACTCTTTTGTTATTTTTACCAGCTCCTATATGGCAACTCAGGGACCATCCTCTGCTGTTCAATTAAGAAAGCAGTGAGATGGACTGGAGAGATGGCTCAGAGATTTAAGAGACCTGTCTGCTCTTCCAGAAATTCTGGGTTCAAGTACCAGCAACCACATGGTGGCTCACAACCATCTATAATGAGATCTGGTGTCCTCTTCTCTTGTTCAGGCACACATGCAGGCAGAACACTGTATACATAATTAATAAATAAATCTTAAAAAAATAGAAAGTGGTGAGAATTTAAAACCCTAATTCTTGGGGCCTGAGGAGGTGGCAAAATTTAAAGTTGTTTGAGGGCAATTTTAAAACTCTCTGTGGAAGGTTCCAAGATGGCGGTGAACAGAGCACATCATTTTGGAGAGGCAGAGGACATGAATCTCCGAAATTGGTGATAGAGAGACAATCGAAACTAGAATTTGGACTTTTGGGCTTTCTAAAGGAGAGGGGACACCACAGAAGCGTGGAGTGCTTGTAGATTTAGATCAGGCGCAGATGTCTCTGGGAACGAAGTGAGGTGCTTCCCTTGTCCGGACCTCCCTCCTGCGCAGGGAAACTGCACACAGCACCAGGTAGCTGAGCACAAAGGTAGCTGAGCCTGGGGACCAAGACAGCAGAGCCAGCGCTCCAGGTCCCTTAGCGTGGCAGACAGCTGTAACCACCCCCTGAACACTGAACACCACCCCTCGGACACATGTCGGTGTAACCCATACCCGGGGCTCCGCCTAGGGCCCTCTTGCCGAGCTCTGGACCAGCTGAGCGTCCCCATCCCCATCCCCCCACCCCCTCAGAACAAAATCCCGCCACAAGAAGCACAGAGGAGCTCACGCCCCTCCAGAAATCCCGCCCCGTGAGAGTGCACACACCTCCAGATAAACCTGTGCCACCTGAGCACACCCACCACAGGAAAACCTGCCCTACAGTAGCACATACACCTCTGGAAACCCGCCACACCAGAGGAACTTACACACCTCCGGAAACCCCGCCCTGCATGATCACACCCACCACCAGAAATCCTGCCCCACAGTAGTGCATACACCTCCAGAAACCAAGCCACACCAGAGCACACTCAACTCTGGAAACCCTGCCACACAGGAAAGCACCCACAGCCAGTGCCAGAGCACAGGCGCCACCACAGAGACTCAGTCCCGCAGTACAATCTTTCCTGGATCCCAAATCTGCAAAGCTCACTGCGTGGGGTCCAAAGCAGCAGAGGCAGGGCTTCAGGCCCCTCAGCCACAGTGGAGAGCTGTAACCACTCATCGAATGCCACCCCTCAGAGCACACATCTAAGGAACCCATGCCCCACCTTGTGCCTTCTTGCCAAGCTTCGGACCCTCGGAGCACACCCTCCCACCACCACCACCACTACCACCAGGCCTGCCAGAGTGCACGCACCACCAGAAACCCCAGCCCTGCAGAGTGCACGCCCAAAGAGTGCCTGCCACAGAGGCTTAGATCTGCAGTACAATGCTTCCAAGATCCCAAGTCTGCAGATGGCAGTACTGACTACACAGGGTTGCCCAGTCAACGATTGTGTGGGCCATCCAACCCCTCAGTGGCAGATAACCAGCTGAATAGCCACCAAAACCTAGCAGACCTGCAAAAACAATACATACCCGAAATCTTCAACAGCACTTGTGATCCTTTAAGCACCTACAACACCTTCAGTGCCTGCAAGGCACCCCTCTCATACACTGAAGTCCTCTTCATTCTCCAACACCCTGTCCCTTAGGACA